TAAGATGTTGCGTTCTAAGATATATAGGCTTTTTACACTATAACTTACCGTAAGATATGATGTTTTTTGAAAATTAGGCAATTTACTTAAAAATTTCGGGTAAGATGTTGCGTTCTTAGATATACAGTCTTTTTACCCTATAACTTACCGGCAAGATATGGTGTTTTTGGAAAATTAGGCTATTTACTTAATAAATTAAGGGTAAGATGTTGCGTTCTCAAATTTATTGGCTTTTTACACTATAACTTACCGGTAAGATATGGTGTTTTTGGAAAATTAGGCTATTTACTTAATAAATTATTTGTAAGATGTTGCGTTCTCTGATATATAGGCTTTTTACACTATAACTTACCGGCAAGACATGATGTTTATGGAAAATTAGCTATTTACTTAATAAATTAAGGGTAAGAGTGTTGCGTTCTCAGATTTATGGCTTTTTACACTATAACTTACCTGTAAGATATGGTGTTTTTTGGAAATTAGGCTATTTACTTAATAATTACTTGTAAGATGTTGCGTTCTCTGATATATAGGCTTTTTACACTATAACTTACCGGCAAGACATGATGTTTTGGAAAATTAGGCTATTTACTTAATAAATTAAGGGTAAGATGTTGCGTTCTCAGATTTATTGGCTTTTTACACTATAACTTACCGGTAAGATATGATGTTTTTGGGAAATTAGGCTATTTACTTAATAACTTACTTGTAAGATGTTGCGTTCTCTGATATATAGGCTTTTTACACTATAACTTACCGGCAAGACATGATGTTTGTGGAAAATTAAGCTATTTACTTAATAAATTAAGGGTAAGATGTTGCGTTCTCAGATTTATTGGCTTTTTACACTATAACTTACCGGTAAGATATGGTGTTTTTGGGAAATTAGGCTCTTTACTTAATAAATTACTTGTAAGATGTTGCGTTCTCTGATATATAGGCTTTTTACACTATAACTTACCGGCAAGACATGATGTTTTTGGAAAATTAGGCTATTCACTTAATAAATTATGGGTAAGATGTTGCGTTCTCAGATTTATAGGCTTTTTACACTATAACTTACCGGTAAGATATGATGTTTTTTGAAAATTAGGCAATTTACTTAAAAAATACCTGTAAGATGTTGCGTTCTTAGATATACAGTCTTTTTACCCATAACTTACCCGGCAAGATATGGTGTTTTTGGAAAATTAGGCTATTTACTTAATAAATTAAGGGTAAGATGTTGCGTTCTCAAATTTATTGGCTTTTTACACTATAACTTACCGGTAAGATATTGTGTTTTTGGAAAATTAGGCTATTTACTTAATAAATTTTTGTAAGATGTTGCGTTCTCTGATATATAGGCTTTTTACACTATAACTTACCGGCAAGACATGATGTTTATGGAAAATTAAGCTATTTACTTAATAATTAAGGTAAGATGTTGCGTTCTCAGATTTATTGGCTTTTTACACTATAACTTACCTGTAAGATATGGTTTTTTGGAAATTAGGCTATTTACTTAATAAATTACATGTAAGATGTTGCGTTCTCTGATATATAGGCTTTTTACACTATAACTTACCGGCAAGACATGATGTTTATGGAAAATTAAGCTATTTACTTAATAAATTAAGGGTAAGATGTTGCGTTCTCAGATATATTGGCTTTTTACACTATAACTTACCGGTAAGATATGATGTTTTTGGAAATTAAGCTATTTACTTAATAAATTAAGGGTAAGATGTTGCGTTCTCAGATTTATTGGCTTTTTACACTATAACTTACCGGTAAGATATGGTGTTTTTGGGAAATTAGGCTATTTACTTAATAAATTACTTGTAAGATGTTGCGTTCTTTGATATATAGGCTTTTTACACTATAACTTACCGGTAAGATATGTTTTTTTGAAAATTAGGCAATTTACTTAAAAAATTACGGGTAAGATGTTGCGTTCTTAGATATACAGTCTTTTTACCCTATAACTTACCGGCAAGATATGGTGTTTTTGGAAAATTAGGCTATTTACTTCATAAATTAAGGGTAAGATGTTGCGTTCTCAGATTTATTGGCTTTTTACACTATAACTTTCCGGTAAAATATGGTGTTTTTGAGAAATTAGGCTATTTACTTAATAAATTACTTGTAAGATGTTGCGTTCTCTGATATATAGGCTTTTTACACTATAACTTACCCGGCAAGACAAGATGTTTTTGGAAAATTAGGCTATTCACTTAATAAATTAAGGGTAAGATGTTGCGTTTCTCAGATTTATTGGCTTTTTACACTATACTTACCGGTAAGATATGGTGTTTTTTGAAATTAGGCTATTTACTTAATAAGTTACTTGTAAGAGTTGCGTTCTCTGAGATATAGGCTTTTTACACTATAACTTCCCGGTAAATATGGTGTTTTTTAAAAATTAGGCTATTATTTAATAAATTATGTGTAAGATGTTGCGTTCTAAGATATATAGGCTTTTTACACTATAACTTACCGGTAAGATATGATGTTTTTGAAAATTAGGCAATTTACTTAAAAATTTACGGGTAGATGTTGCGTTCTTAGATATACAGTCTTTTTACCCTATAACTTACCGGCAAGATATGGTGTTTTTGGAAAATTAGGCTATTTACTTAATAAATTAAGGGTAAGATGTTGCGTTCTCAGATTTATTGGCTTTTTACACTATAACTTACCGGTAAGATATGGTGTTTTTGGGAAATTAGGCTATTTACTTAATAAATTACTTGTAAGATGTTGCGTTCTCTGATATATAGGCTTTTTACACTATAACTTACCGGCAAGACATGATGTTTATGGAAAATTAAGCTATTTACTTAATAAATTAAGGGTAAGATGTTGCGTTCTCAGATTTATTGGCTTTTTACACTATAACTTACCGGTAAGATATGGTGTTTTTGGGAAATTAGGCTATTTACTTAATAAATTACTTGTAAGATGTTGCGTTATCTGATATATAGGCTTTTTACACTAAAACTTACCGGTAAGATATGGTGTTTTTTGAAAATTAGGCTATTTACTTAATAACTTACTTGTAAGATGTTGCGTTCTTTGAGATATAGGCTTTTTACACTATAACTTACCGGCAAGACATGATGTTTTTGGAAAATTAGGCTATTCACTTAATAAATTATGGGTAAGATGTTGCGTTCTCAGATTTATAGGCTTTTTACACTAAAACTTACCGGTAAGATATGGTGTTTTTGGAAAATTAGGCTATTTACTTAAAAATTAAGGGTAAGATGTTGCGTTCTCAGATTTATAGGCTTTTTACACTAAAACTTACCGGTAAGATATGGTGTTTTTTGAAAATTAGGCTATTTACCTAATAACTTACTTGTAAGATGTTGCGTTCTTTGAGATATAGGCTTTTTACACTATAACTTACCGGTAAAATATGGTGTTTTTTGAAAATTAGGCTATTATTTAATAAATTATGTGTAAGATGTTGCGTTCTAAGATATATAGGCTTTTTACACTATAACTTACCGGTAAGATATGATGTTTTTTGAAAATTAGGCAATTTACTTAAAAAATTACGGGTAAGATGTTGCGTTCTCAGATATATAGGCTTTTTACACTATAATTTACCGGTAAGATATGGTGTTTTTGGAAATTAGGCTATTTACTTAATAAATTACTTGTAAGATGTTGCGTTCTCTGATATATAGGCTTTTTACACTATAACTTACCGGTAAGATATGGTGTTTTTTGAAAATTAGGCTATTATTTAATAAATTATGTGTAAGATGTTGCGTTCTAAGATATATAGGCTTTTTACACTATAACTTACCGGTAAGATATGATGTTTTTTCAAAATTAGGCAATTTACTTAAAAAATTACGGGTAAGATGTTGCGTTCTTAGATATACAGTCTTTTTACCCTATAACTTACCGGCAAGATATGGTGTTTTTGGAAAATTAGGCTATTTACTTAATAAATTAAGGGTAAGATGTTGCGTTCTCAGATTTATTGGCTTTTTACACTATAACTTACCGGTAAGATATGGTGTTTTTGAGAAATTAGGCTATTTACTTAATAAATTACTTGTAAGATGTTGCGTTCTCTGATATATAGGCTTTTTACACTATAACTTACCGGCAAGACATGATGTTTATGGAAAATTAAGCTATTTACTTAATAAATTAAGGGTAAGATGTTGCGTTCTCAGATTTATTGGCTTTTTACACTATAACTTACCGGTAAGATATGGTGTTTTTGGGAAATTAGGCTATTTACTTAATAAATTACTTGTAAGATGTTGCGTTCTCTGATATATAGGCTTTTTACACTATAACTTACCGGCAAGACATGATGTTTTTGGAAAATTAGGCTATTCACTTAATAAATTATGGGTCAGATGTTGCGTTCTCAGATTTATAGGCTTTTTACACTATAACTTACCGGTAAGATATGGTGTTTTTTGAAAATTAGGCAATTTACTTAAAAAATTACGGGTAAGATGTTGCGTTCTTAGATATACAGTCTTTTTACCCTATAACTTACCGGCAAGATATGGTGTTTTTGGAAAATTAGGCTATTTACTTAATAAATTAAGGGTAAGATGTTGCGTTCTCAGATTTATAGGCTTTTTACACTAAAACTTACCGGTAAGATATGGTGTGTTTTGAAAATTGGGAGGAAGGGAGAAAGCACAGAAATCAAATGAAATAAGAGAGAACGTTGCTCTGTAAGAAAGCTGGATATCTATTCATATCATCTTACTGTTCATATGTATATTCGTATATCAGAGAGAAGTGAGCTGCTTCTCTAACTGATTTACACAGAAATTAAATCCTAGCCTTTGATCCTATCACCCTATGAGATGATTACACTTGTCACAATCTAACAGATTATATCCTAGGCTAGATAAGAGACCACTTGGACTATGATCCAATGGCTCATGTTGCAAACAGAATTTAAACATATAAAATGAAATAAAATGCAAACAGAGCAACTCTGGCGCCAAGGATTTCAGCTCAAGGGTTATACATCAACAACTGAAAAGATCTGAGACACGGAAAAGTAAACTGCCATTCGAATCCTCCAATGCAACCTTTTCCCTTTCATCCCTATATAAACCCAAAAATCTCGTTAGAAGGAATCCATGACGTTAACTTTTAAAACAATGGAAAACTAGGATATTAATTCCTTACTGTTCTGCACAGCAAGGTACACGAAGCAAATGCAAGAGCACTTTGAATAATACATCATCCTACAATTCAAAAACAAGCCAAGAAATGAGGACATGAGTCTAAAAAACTGCAAGAAAAATACGACAAATGAAGAATACAGAACTGCAATTTTAGTACGTGAAATTGTTGAATAAGATGATGCATTCAGATAGACAAAACAAAATATGATTCAATTTTTCTTTTTTTGGGTCTCGGTGAATAGATTGCCTATTTTGCTTATATCACGTTGCATATAAACATAGAAAAAAAAACTCCTAGTTTCAAAGATAAAGAAGACATACCTCTTTGAGATACAGTTGGATGAAGGATTTGGCAAAGTCAACACATTCTACAAAATACATTTCATGGTCCACTGTCATATTAGCTGGAAGATGTCCTTGAAGCCAGTTATAAAGCTCCAAGAGACCTTTCTTTCTTAGACAGTAACATTATGCTTCTAGTACTAGAAAGAAATCAATAAAGCAGAAAGGCATTGGTGAGCAATGCCAATGCGCCTCCCTCCACTAACCGACCTCTTCCTGCATGCGTGTTGACGACTAATTTATAAATCTCTCAACCAAGACCACCAGGAATTATAAATCTCTCATTCCCTCTTCATTTGCCTCCCAATTCTCACTCTATCAACAACAGAAACATAGTTTTCTATCTCTTCCTTTCACTCCACACGAAACAAACCCTCATTTCTTATGCCTTTCCTTATTTTATATCACCTTTCCTCCTTCTCACACAATATATACATGTCACCTTTGCTCCTTCGCACCAGCAAGCTTCGTCCGTCTTCATTTGGAAAAAGAAGGACATGCCCTGGCGCCCAGACTCGCCCAGGCAGCCTAGATCCAACCAGGCCGCCTAGGCGCCGCCTAGATCCCCCCAGGCCGCCTAAGCGCCACCTAGATCCTCCCTCGTGTCGGTGTCCTCCTGCCTAGCCCCTTGGCCGATATCTCGAACAGTGCTCAAAACCTGGAACGGGCTTGCTCTGCGCCCTAGACGTTCGTAGTGATGACTTCGAGTCCGATTCGCCAGAATATTTTTTTAAAAAACCGTGTATAGCCGGACGGCTATACTATTTTTAAAAAATTAAGAAAATACCAAGTGAAGCCGCCCGGCAATACTGGTTTTTAAAAAATTCGGTAAAAACTGGTATAGCCGTGTGGTTGTACTCTTTTTAAAATATAATTAGGAAAAAAACCTATTATAGCCGCATGGAAGTACCATTTTTAAAATAAATTTTGAAAAAAGGAGTATAGCCGAGCGGCTATACTATTTTCAAAAAATATGAACCACCATTCTAACCTTTCTAAGAAGAATGGATTCATCTTCATAGGAATCTTTGGATCTACCATATGAACCACGTTTGGCTGCGATTTTTTCTCTTATTGTTCCTTCTTTTTGTGTAAAATTTGAATTTTATAACTATTGTGCACGAATTATAATAATTTGAGAAAATTTTGATAAATCACATCAACATGTCATGTGGATATGTACACAAGCAATAAAATAACTTCACAAGTGAGTCAGCGAATTACTAAAGTATTTTCATGATCACAAATTTATTGATTCAATTTAGCACTCCGGACATAAATTTGTTTTGGTAAGGCTCCATTAACATAATATTTTAAAACGTATAGCCGCACGGCTATACCCTTGAAATATCATAATCTGAATTTCTCTTTTTTAATTACTTTATTTAGTAGTTATGTTTTAATTATTATTTACTTATTGAATAATTAGTATTTAAGTATTTTATTAAAGAAAAAAAATTAAAAAAACCAATTACTATTTATTGAGTAATATATTTATGAAGTTAATTAAAATATTTAATACTAATTATTCACAAAATAAATAATGATTAAAACATAATTACTAATGAAAGTAATTAAATAAGGCTAAGATTTTATTGAATTACTAAAAAGAAAATTTAAAATAAAAATGTACTGACCTAAAGATACTAAGTTTATACTTATTATTTAAAAAAACCTCTCCCGACGAACTTTCGTTGGCACAGGTCTATCTCGGTGCAATTTTGCCGGATTAAACCTCTCCCGACGACATTTCGTCAGCATAGGAAACTTTCCTCAGGAGAGGTCTAATCCGGCAAACAGTTGTCGGCATAGACCTTTGGTCTTCTTGCTATTTTTTTTTTTTAAATACAAAATTAGTTTCTTTACTTTTATTTTTTGCCCAACTTCTTTAATTTCATATATATATATATATACATATATATATATGTCATTAAGTAATATCTTTGCCTTTTTTAATTACTTCAATTAGAAATTATATTATTATTCGAATATAGATGCTCTGCTATACTGTTTAAATATTCGAACATATTTAGGAAATATGACAAAGGGCACCTAAAAAGATAAGCAACGTCATTATATCACTTCTCATACACATGCAACACACAAACAAGGTATAAATTTTCTCTCGACCCTAAGCACACACAGAGGAACAAAGCTAGAACATAAATACATACCATGTCTAATTGATTCATTACCTCAAGGCTCAGCTTTGCTACATAGAAATCCATATTTTTATTGTTATATTTAAAGCGTATAGCTACGTGGCTATATTGGTAAAATAGAATATTTTAAAAGTATAGCCGCTTGGCTATACTCTATAAGCCATAAACAGAATATTTTAAAAGAGAGTATAACCGTCCGGCCATACGCCATAAATTCTCTATTTTAAAAGAGAGTATCGCCGCACGGCTATACTCCGTAAAAAGAATATTTTAAAAGTATGGCCACGCGACTATACTCCATAAAAAGAATATTTTTGAGTGACTACACACCATAAATAGAATATTTTACGAGAATAGCTGCTCGGCTATTCCTTTTTTAAAGACGTTCTCACAACAATTCGAGACCCTTCCTTGATATGTAGCTGAAGCGATGAATGTCCAGATCAATCTCAAAGTAGTTAGGACCCTGCGTGTGAGAGAGCTTGATAAAGTCAAACAACATGGTTTTTATGTTTCATCTTCTTAACACTCAGCAACACAAATGTTCAATGTTTACCTTGTAAAAATTGTGCTGGGGGCGTGAAAGAACTGGTTTGTCATTATATGCATGTACAAGCTTCTTCTCAGTAGAACTCCGACCAAGATCTTCAGGATTTACCACCCCAGTCAAGATCTTTAGGGCCCGTTCGTTTAAGTTTTCAGCGCCCGTTTTCATTTTCAAAAAACAAAAACAAACCAAGAATCCGTTCGGTGGACTAAAACAGAAAACACTGAGAATGTTTTCATAAAATGAAAACAACATCACGTGTACTTCGGAAAAACAGAAAAAATGTGTTTTCATTCTCACAGAAAACAAACGCCTAAAACATAAACCGAAATGCACAACCCCATCGCTCTACCCAGCAAAACAGAAACGAAACGAAAATCAAACTCACCATGGCCATGATTGTCAGACCATCATCATCACAACCGCCACTGATTCTGCCACTGCCACCAAACCTCACAGACCCAGTCCCCACATCACCACCACCTATCAAACCCAACCGACACCAACACCAACACCACCACCATGCCAATGGAATCAAAACCAAACACCCAATCGAACCCAATACACATCTCGCCACCTAGTAAAAAAGCAATCGACACCTCCACCACCCATACCCAATCAAAGCATCACCATTGCCATCACCACCCAATTAAGAGAGAGAGAGAGAGAGAGAGAGAGAGAGAGAGGAGAGAGAGAGAGAGAGAGGAGGAGAGAGAGAGAGAGAGGAGAGAAGAGGAAGAAAGAAAAGGAAAAAAGAAAAAAAAAGAGGAAGAAAGGAACGGCCTGGGAAGGGAGAAGAAAAGATAAAGGAGAGAAGAGGAAGAAAGAAAAGGACAAAAGAAGAGAAAAGAGGACGGCCTGGGAAGGGAGAAGAAAAGAGAAAGGAGAGAAGAGGAAGAAAGAAAAGGAAAAAAAGAAGAAAGGAGGAAGATAAAAAAAAGTTTAACTTAAAAAAAACAATATAATTTTTTATTTGTCAAATTATACATTAAAAAAAATATTTTTTAGAACATAAATTAGCAAAAATACACTTGAAAAATAATTGTACTACCAAACACGTTTTCATTGTTTTGTTTTCTAAAGATGTTTTCTAATTAATCTACCAGACGCATTTTCATTTCCTGAAAATGCAAATTTGTTTTCTTGTTTTCATTCTCTGAAAATATTCTCAGAAAACACTCTCCGAAAACGTTACCAGACGGGCCCCCCAAAAAAAAAAAAAAAAAAAAAAAAAAAAAAAAAAAAAAAAAAAAAAAAAAAAAAAAAAAAAAAAAAAAAAAAAAAAAAAAAAAAAAAAAAAAAAAAAAAAAAAAAAAAAAAAAAAAAAAAAAAAAAAAAAAAAAAAAAAAAAAAAAAAAAAAAAAAAAAAAAAAAAAAAAAAAAAAAAAAAAAAAAAAAAAAAAAAAAAAAAAAAAAAAAAAAAAAAAAAAAAAAAAAAAAAAAAAAAAAAAAAAAAAAAAAAAAAAAAAAAAAAAAAAAAAAAAAAAAAAAAAAAAAAAAAAAAAAAAAAAAAAAAAAAAAAAAAAAAAAAAAAAAAAAAAAAAAAAAAAAAAAAAAAAAAAAAAAAAAAAAAAAAAAAAAAAAAAAAAAAAAAAAAGGTCTAAGAAACTCCTCGGAAAAACTGGAAGCTCTATATCTATACCCTAACAGTATGTGAATATGCTGGTGAGGAATGAATGATCCTACTAGTAGCGTTCTTAAAATCATTCGGAGGTTCGAGGAAATGCGCGTCATGAGATTAGCAATTGACTAAAAAAAGTATAGAGACTTCCATACGATGGCATGTTTAAACTTCGTGCTCTTATGGGAAAATATTGGTTACTTTTGCCGGTTTTGGCGAGGGTTACGACCTGCAAGCGTCTCTGTCCTGTCCAGCTGGTTGATTTCGCGCCCCACCCAGAGACCTGCTGATATCAAACTCCACACACAACACCACGGCAACTCTTTGGTATACACACCCATACGACTGAAACATTGAGAAGTGTCGAGCAAATTTATCATTGTCGTTTAAAAGTTTGTTTTTTTTTTCCGGAGCTTGATTACAAATTTACAGCGCACCGACGCCCCATCAATATAACTTGGAAGGCAGCGAGTTGCTCCTCATGGTGTCATAGTGGGGCCAGAACCGCGATGTTGTACGATGTGGCTTGACAATACAAGTGTATGGAAGCATCCCGACTGACGGACTTTTTTTCACAATCCGTGTGTTATGATATGGTTGTAAAGATGGTCAATTTTTCCACACGGGTTAACTGCTCCCAAAAAGGCGACCCCTCGCACATATGTTCAGATCACCCTATGACTCACGCGACAGATTAGGCGCCTTTCTAGGTCGCATCAATACCACAGTCACCACTCCCATGAGTAGTGCACGCACGGTTACTGTGCTGAATCAATGCTTATGATTTGTAGCGTGTGTGGATTTGAACGATCCCAGACGTCGTGGTTAAATCTGCAAGGCCTCCTCGAAAACACCCCTGGACATTCCAGACTCAATTGGTAGTCAGCTCCATAGGTTATCTATCCGGCTTCGCATTCAATTATTAAGGTGCAATGTGCAGCTTTTGATGTGGTGCGGTCTTAAAAGACAACATCAAATCAAAGGTTGATGTGAGTCGAACCACACAAGCACCCCACACATCACCGATTACAAACTCTTCTCTCTCCAACCCCCACCACATTTTTGGGGTACATCTACTTGGCATCTAGTGCTGACCATCGCCATACAGAGAAAAGAAGAGCCCCCATGTTTCTTCCACATCTGAAAAAAAAAATAACGCAAGTACTTACCCCCCTCTTGTGTCTCCTTTTCTGGAGTGGGGGGGGGGGGGGAGGAAGATGGTATGGGTTTTTTGGCCCAAAAAAAAAACCCGAGGATGAAACAGTTTTGGAATTTTTGGTTTTTTTTTTAATTTTTTTTTTTTTTTTTAAAAGAACATGACCCTAAATACCGCAGGGGCAAGCCGGCAAGACATGATAAAATTTTGGCGAGGTTTCGATTTATTCTTCCTCACAGGCATTTTGATGGCTCGATTTAGAAAGACTTACATATGAGCCCTGGATTAAGTGGCATGCATAGCAATCTTGAAAAAGGGGTATTAGATGCACGAAGAGTTGCGTTCTCAACCGCTCTTTCAGAGCGCTCTCATGGGACGAGCTGGTCTCTATCTGTCAGTTTTTTTTCGGGCAAGGGGGGGCTGCAAATTCCTCTGGAGGGACTTTCAATAGCGCACTTCTATCCAGATTACTCATGGCCATGAGATAGTCTCATCAGATAGGCGCGGACAAAGTTACCCACCTCCCGCATTAGGCCAATCTGCACAAGCCGACAATGCCCCCCTATCAACACAAAATTGTACAGACCATTTACACATTATGACCCTAGGTGAACCACTTTCCGCGGACCAATGTTAGCAGCTATTTGTAGCGCAATAACAAGACAACATCAAATACCAAGGTGTGATCGTCGTTTTTTTAATCAACTCTGCCCAAAGACACACACCATCACAAGTTCTAAACTTATGTCTTGCACATAAATGTTGGTCGCCACCCCCTCAGGACCTAGTACTATTCCTCTGGGCTCAACTCTTGCCCTAATTGACGGCAGTTCTCCAATTTGGACCATGAAGTTACGGGGTGTCATGAGTCAAGTAATGTGTTCCTTGAAAAAATTTGGCTGGCAAACGCTTGCAGAGAAAAAGGAGAGCAGTAAAGACTTGTAAACTTGAAGAGTATTGATGATTAATTTTTAGTAAAAGGAAGTATCTATGTTAGTTTAATTCTTATCAGAATGAATGTACCATAGAAGTTAAAGAAGGTTGTACTTGAATTGGAAGCGTCATAGATAGCTTACCAAATAATTCTATGGATATACGAGTGAGCATAAGAACCAACAAAAAGGGGTATTCGGACTTGAAGGCTTAGCTCTTGGCAGAGAAGCGCTAGATATTCGCGTTGTTGCCCATGTAAGTTGCCGCCAACTGAACTTCACCAGGATTCCAGTCACTAAGGAACCTCACGTTCCCTGAACTAGGTAACTTTAGTCCTGGATCAGTCCTAGACTGCCCCACAAAACATCTTGATTTTGCTTGTCTTCTGGTACGTTATAATTTAGTTGATCAAACAGTTGTTTCTGCTTTTTGCTTTGAGACATGGGGTTGTCTATATTGGCTAGTAGTGTTCGCCCGTGACCTTGTGTGTTTTGTTGGCATGAGGCCAGTACACTCTCTGTGTCCATCGCACCCAGTTTGCAACATGTATGAAGACCCACCAATCATGCCTATTCTACTGTTTCTTCCTATTGCTTGGTGCTATTAAAGTTGTTTACCCACGCAGTCAAGTAGTCTTGCCTACGAGGCGACATAACACGATAGATGACGCGGATGGGAGTGGGCATAGTTGTCGCTTTGCGACTGGATCTTCGTCGTAAATAATAAATTCACAAAATTAGTCTACATATCTTAACATGGTGATAAGGTGCACATGTTGGAGCGTCGTGGAGCATGGAAAAAAAGACCACATCAATAAAGAGTTTATATGTTGCTATAATCAAGAAGCCCAACAGAACGCACGCGACTCCCGATCCAAATTTCTAATGTTGTTTCTATCCCAACTGCGATCTCCGCCTGACGTCTCCGACAGCCAGCACTGGGAAGCTATCCTATCGATCTGTCTTCTCTCGTTGGGACCGTGGCCTAATTTGACAGGCCCAAGCTATTTCATCCGTATTAAGCATACGAGAGGATTGGCATGTCTATGAACTGGGTGTAAAAATGTGTCGCTTGAAAACTCGGATGGCAAACGACTGAAAGAAAAAGAGGGGCAATCATAAAAAGACAAATAAGATGTCTCGGCCGAGTAATGATGATTTATGTGCCTTGTAAAAAGGACGGTATCTTTGCTAAGCTTAATTCTTCAGACTGAATGTGTAGATGAGATTGTAGCAGAAATTTGTACAGTCGACTGCCTCGACAAGATAAGTCTACCAGGGAAACACCCAGGAACAATATTGGAGAGATGCGAACCTAGGCTCCTCATGTTCGAAATAGCGGTATAAACTCCAATCAACATTAGGGTTATCGGATTAAAAGCCTTAGCCTTCAAGACAGATCGTACATAGCATACAAGCTTAACAGAGAGTTGGTGATGGGCCAGCACTGGCGTACGATACGAAAGCTTACACGCATGACGCCTTATTGTTACTATATAATCAGTAGTCGTGGCCTCCACTATGGGAAACGCAACGAAGAAAAGGCGGTTGCAGGACATGTGAAGCTTTTAGCTCTGCTGAAGGAGCTTATAGATCTTACCACACGTGGTAGGCGTCGCTGGTTGCTAGGCATCGCATGAGAATCGGTCTTGTTCGCTTGGGGGGCAGCTTGCAGTGAGAGACTGCGCCCACCGATTTCTTTGTGCAGGAAAATCAAATGAGCATGCTAAAGACTATAATAGGACATTACGAATGGTAGCGGAGATTAGACAACATGAAACTACAATAATGTAAAAAGATCAGAAACAGAAAGTAGGATGTCTTTTCGAAACTTTCATTTAGATTTGGACAAATTTTTGATTTTTCAAATTTATCGTCTGCAATCTATATTATATGTCATACGGCCCGAAGTGGTCTTGGGGGGATCTGTTATGTAAGATGTAGAGACTAAGATGGTTTGGTTCTGCACTTTACCAGCCGTGAGCTCTGATTCGGCGTTTGTTGGAGGAGCGAAGACACGCTTGGACAACGGAGATGTCTCCCTTGGATTTCGGGGGGCGGGCGGTAAGTTTTTGCCTAAAGATTCCGTAAAGGCATCCCCCCGGAAGTGCATCAGAATTGGTTTCTTTCCTGTGGTGGACCAATTATCTTTTAAGATAGGCGAATGGCTGTGTTTGACAACTTTGACAAATATGCAAACACGTTGAATCGCGAATTTTCCTTCATATCAAAAAACGACCGAGTGACACGTTGCCGAGGCTAGAACTTAAAGGAACTCAGACGCAACCCTGTTAAATCCAAGCACTCACCCTCCGCCCCATCGTTGTCTGAGTTCCCCCTCTCCCCCCCCAAGCTGTTTTTTCCATGTGAAGCCTCTTGGCCGTCACAACCGTTCAAGAGCTACTGGACTGGAAAGTCATTTCTCACACCAGTCCATCCCTCAAAATCATTCTGGATCCGTCTCGGCCCACATAACAGACATTGTAATCTGACCATCCAGTGAAAAGCCTATGATCCACACACCACTGCTGTGGGAGATATCCGATAGCATGGCTCTCAATAACATACTTTGCAAACCAGTTGCCCACCACCACATCTTTCAAACGCATCGCAACCTTCCCATATTTATAATCAATTGTACCCGAGTAACTTGGCTTTAAACCACCCCCATGGCTCACTCATCAGTACTGATCTTAGGCAATTAGAAACTTGCGCGCGGCATTCTCAGGTCCTTTGACTAAGGTTATAGATAGAGAGCAGAGAACTCCAGTGCGAGAGGGAGAGTCGCGGATGAGCGTTAGATCGCGAGAGAGATTGAGAGTGAGAGAGGAGAGCTAGGAGAGGCTAGGTTGTACTTGTAGCACAACGGTTTGGTTCTTTGGCCTCCGAGAAGCAACTTTGGCGAACTGCTCATACGCGGGCCGTACGCATAGGTGTAGTGAAAAGAGGAGATTTCTTGTTTTTACAGTGGTTTATGTGCAAACTATCTTGTTTTCCTCCCACGAAGAGAAGGTCATAGTGGAAGCTTGCAATGTTGCAAAAGCGGTGTTTGATGTGTTTCAATAGTTAGAGGGTTAACTCTGTTGTTTATACCTTGCAGAGCTACCTTCGCATCTTCCCACACGCACGAGGCCCCACAGCTCGACAACCCGGGTCTCTGCCAAAAGGGTTTGTCGGGTTGTCTGTTGGTGAGGGTAGGGAGTCAGGTGCGACGGAGGGCTTTACCTGGCACGCGCCGGAGGACCAATGTACTCGGGCTTAAATAATGACACACAGAGTCAAACGTAAAAATACTGTGAACTGAACACCCACTTCACTCCCGACCATCCAGCAAGACAATCAGTACACGCTATACGTGCCTTGAGCGACTTCACTCAATTTTTTTCACACCCGGTATTTTGATGGGGTTTTTTTTTTTGTATTTCTGTCTGTTTTTTTGTATGAGTTTTTTGGTGTTCATTTTAGCGTAGGGGTTTGTGCCGTTTCTCTTGCTTGAGAATTTTTTCTTGGTCTCAATATTGTGATGTAATGCTAAAAGGGTTGAGTAGGTGCATGTTTCGTTCAAGTTAGTTTGAGAATTTTCAACTACTCTTCATAATGTTGTTAATTAAATAAAAGGATAGGCGTGTTTTTGGAGTTCAACTATACACCACATAGTTTGGATTACTACTGAGATTTAAGGTAAAAGGCACGCATATGGGATTATATTCAAAACCTCTTGCAGTTATCGTCGTCTGTGTTCTGATCTGTAGAGACTAATCGGGTAATATATCACAATATGCTCAAACATTCTGACAGATATAATATGCTGCTAGAGTTTTGAAGATGCATGTGTCGCCGTAGGACAAATGACGTCAGCATAAAGGGGAGATCGAACCTAGAATTCTGCGTGAAAGAAAGAGTCCGGAACCATATGCTAGCGATTCTAGCATTCCAGTTGAGTGGCAGTTTCGCGCAACAGAGTGGTTTCAAGACGGCCAAATACTGATAATCCAAGACGAATATTTACCAACAGCTTTACCATTATGATACTATTTAAGTCAATAATTTGCAGGCTCCGCTGTTCACATGTTCATTCCCAAAAACCCGTTATCTACATCTTGGATTCAGGCCAATCTTCTCTCTGTGTCAAGTGTCGCGTGTGCTGGTTGGCTCGACGAGGGTGATTAAAATTGGATAAGAAATACAACATTAAAGCCGTTTGATTGCTGTTAAACCACACATATGAGTCACACTACCATCATTTTTTTCCAACTAATAATTGCTCCCTCTCACATTCGGCCAGCGCAACTTGGCAACGTAGGCATCCAGTATTGGCGATAATGTTGATTCGATCCATTGCTGCTTGCACCCCGAAAACAGATTACTCAGGGAAGGACATTAATTGTGTATTTGCTGCGGTTATTAAGTGCCTTTAACAATACGTGGACCGGCACAGTAGTCTGGAAAAATTAAATAAATACCTCATCTACAGGCAGACAATGATTAAACCTCGGAGCAGGAGGAGTTTAGATATAATCTCTGTATAAAGGAATGCGGCAAGGTTTATTAGAAAAGCTTACCATTATTACATGGTGAGGAATAACTGTGGTACTTGTTCAGCTATCGCAACACTGGAAACAGGGTGTTGATGGGAAAGCGATAGATCCTTGAAGCGTAGTCAACTTCGCGTGCAGGAGACCATCAACTGTTGACCCCGTTGAAGAAATATGAACAACCTATTACTTTAGAACAGAACCAGAACATAAGGTTCAAAAGCCTAGATGATATACTGCCTTGATTTTTCAGGCACCTTTCACATTCTGTCATTCATCATATTGACACTGAGTCTTCTTAGTTGACTAAGTTCGCTCTGGTTGTAATTTACTCTCACAAGAACATGGCTTGTTTTTCGGGGATGCTCGAGGGACCCCGGCAGGAGATTCTCTGTTTTTTGGGAAAGTTGTACCACATATTTCTCTAATTCAACAATCGCGAAAGAAATCAGCCCATCACCAGACTCATCAACTAGGTTTTTATTCATCATTCTCAAGCGTTTACGCTAAGCTCCGGGAACGATGTGTTCCCATCATGACGGGGAACCTTGGTTCGTTATGGTGGGAAAAATGACAACCACTCAAACAAATTCTCGACCCCTGTTTGTGTCAAGGATCTCAAAACATACACCATCTAACTTCAAATTATGGCATCTTGTCAAACCCAATTGCCCTACGCAATCCCCCGCCAGGAATTGTGAGTATCTGACTCCTTTTCTCTATTTTTATATTGTTAAGATCCTATGGTCAAATATGTTTCCGATTCCAATACTCTCACAGGATACCTTGTCTATCACAAGCGAACTCTTATATAGGATTTTTAGCGCTAGCGTGAACGTTGGGGATGGCACCAGGGAAAAGGACAAAAAAGTATAGTGGAAAGAAGAAGAAAAGAAAAAACAATAATTACAAACTCTATAAGAGAGAGAACACTAATGAGTTCCACCTATTGAATAAGACAGAATTTGTTAAAGTCAGAAGCAAGACTTTCTTTTTATGTTGGCCTATTAAAGTTACCCCAAAGTGGAACATGTGGGGACCCCCTAGGAGGGGACTTAGGGCAAAAATGACGGACTTATTAAGGGTGTGAATTTGCGCATGAGCTCTACTCGAAGAGGCTTGACCTAGCTTTTCAATGCCTTTAGGCAATAGTAACGTACATGGCTTCTACTTGAGCAGCGCTCTTCCTGCACCCCCTACTTTGTGTGTAGACTAGCGTGCAGAGTAGTAGTTCCGACACCCCTTGTGGGCGACGCAGTTTGGCGTTGACTTGGTCTCCGAGTTCGTTGTCAGATCATAACCACTTGCTAAGATGGAGGCCTTCCACTGCTAATTAGCAGGATAATCATCTTTCCCTGTTACAAGAATCAATTGACAACGAACTTCCAGGGTAGGTATTGCAACCAAGAACATATATTGTCAATTAAAACACCAATGGTACTTATTAAGAACATGTAATCTTTAGTTCATCTGATTAGACTCGAACCTAATGTTTATACGTTGTGTAATTTCTTGGTTTCATTCTGTTACTTTGCACTTTCCTGTTTTCTTCTGAGGGCTAGGGACAAGGATGCGATCTTCTTCCTGTCCTTTCTCGGGGACGGGACTTGCGGCATAGCAGGGGTACAGAGATGTGTTGTCATTAGTACTTTGATCACATACGCGTGTTCTCTGTTACTTGTCGCCCCCTGGTGCATGATACTGGCAGCGACTGTGTCCGCTGTGACCGCCCTTTGTCCCCGACGGTATTCACAAGTAAGCGCACCCCCTCTGGCCGGGTCCGCTTCTCTACAGCATGAACAGAACTTTTCCCGCTACCTGCTTGCTTAATATAATATAATGAGAAGAGTGGCCGCGGGACCGGATCATTGATGGTCGCGCAGACTCAAGTGTCGCGCAGGGACTTTTCGTGTGTGCCGAATTGGTGGTAAAGGGTGAAAACCCGTTAGCGATACGCCCCCCGCCCCTATATTCAATGTTGGTTGGGGTAATATTTTTGGAAGCCCAGTGTATATCGTGATTCTTCTTGTGCGTACGCGGAATTCAACGCTTTGGAGTTAGGTGTCGCGTGTTTACTGAGGCGTAATGGACGTAAAGTGAAGGCGAATGCCCTGAGAGCCCTTGGTATTTTTGTTCAACCACTTGACACTTCTGTGCGCCATAGTTATATCTTGTAGACCAAAAAAATAAACAATTTATTAAGCTTTGGTTGAGCTAAAATGAGAATCAAATCCTTCCTTCTTCTAAGATATGGACACTTTTTTTGTGTCGAGCCAATACGTGGCATTTATTCGTCAATTAAATAAAACATATGGTGACATTTGTTTGGCTAATTCAGTAAAAAGGTCTGAGTGAATAGAGAGTGTAGAAGGTCGAACCTCTATGCCACTATGAAGTGGGGTGCTATAAGACGCGCCACAAGTACTGCATGTGTAGTCAGATTCAGGAGGAGCCTTGCTCACTCAGTAACACAAAGACGAAGTTCCGTGGGTGAGAGGGGGGAGCAAAGAAAAAGAAAATCTGGGGAAAAAGAAAATGGGAAGGAGGAAAAAGTACAGGCAGTGGGAAAAAACCAAGCAAAATCCGAGTATATGTCCAGGGAAAGGACGTGAAAATACGGGGGACGTGGGGAGGAGGCGTGAGTAGGGGATGGAGCGATGGAGCCAATAAGTGAGAAGGCAATCGAAAGGCTTGGAAGAGAGGCAGGAGAGGAGGTGAAAAAGCCAAGTGAGGTGGTGTAGGAACGGAGCAGAAATGAGGCGAGAGGGGAGAAGGAATGAAGGGAGACTAACAGGAAATTGGAGCAAGGAGAGTACACAGAAGGAGCGGAAGCGCGACGAGGCGAGGCGGGGCTCAGAGAGATGGACGGGGGGAAGAAGAAAAAATCTTTGAAAAAAATCTGGGAGGGACGGCGAAGGTTTTCAAAAAAATCAAAAAGAGCAATGTGCGGGGGGGGTGGGGGGCTCAGTTGTCACAGAATTTAAAAAGAAGAAATAACCGATGCGTAGCAAACAAATTAAAAAAAGACTTGTCTATGGGTTTAAAATCTCCACGCCGCCTTCCAAGTAGACGGTCTAACCGCGCACCATCAAACGTAACCTAGGCAGCGCAAAAAAACTATTAGGTGGTCGTTTTGTGTAAAGTACGGGGAAGAGCAAGAGCGGTCGAGGGTTCGGGTGGAGCATAAGATCAATAGCCTCTAGCCACCGCACCGACTACGCAATGCATGTTCGCCGGGGTGATGCAATGTCAGTCAGTTCGTACAAAGCAGCGCTGTTACGAAACTTGTTGCAGTTTTGGTATAATCACATCAACACCTTATAAAACATAACCAACACTATCCTTTTCTAATTCCCTGCCTTGAGCCCCGAACATTATTTATATTCATTATTTCCCAAACCGATTCAACCCCGCTGGTTGATTTTGTTTGTTACTTGCCTATCCACGGCGCACAAAAAGACCACACAATGGTGTCGTGGGAGGGGTGACACCTTACTTTCAAACAAAACCTGGTTGATAGCAAAAAGAATATAGCGTCAATCTGCAAGGGAAAGTCAAGCACCAGAAGAATCAAACAACTTAACCCCCTTAATCACAATGTCAATTATCACAACTTCTACAAGGATATGCTGAATTTGTTAAAAAAATATTAGGCCTATATTTATTTTACCATTTGAGTGAAATCTCCCAATCTAGAATAAAACCACCCCATGCACTGTTTTAAGCTGGACAAAATCTAGACCCAAGGCGCACCACAGATGCTAGACAGTACAATCCATGTGCTTATAGAATGCATGACAACCGAATTTAGAAAATAAACAAAATAAAATTCCATTTGCTACCAAAAGCTAAACACTCAATAAATTAAACTTAGTGATCTTTTTTGGACAGTGAAGAGCTAAACCTGAAACATAGAGAAAAGGGATTGTAGGCATTCTTTCCCTTTGGAGGTCAATCCGCTCATTCTCTCCTCTTCTGAACAACGACCAAAATCACCCCCAACCACTCCACCCCCAAAACTCAAACCGTCGCTGGTTGGTTTCAAATAAAGATGCGCAAACTCTGCGACCTGACGAAACAGAGGTACCTGCGTGCAGGATTGTAATAAACCCACGCTCGAATGTTGCACGGACGCTGTGCCGTGGGCCAAGGGGCGGCCCGACAACGTAAAGTGGCCGGAAGAAGCGTATACTTGAGAAACAAATGACTTCAATACAAAATAACTGAAGCAACAAAGGAAGAATTGAAAAACATCTCCATCTTAAGTATTATCTCTTTTCACTCGTCCCTTTACAATCCCCTAAAGAACTCTTGGTATAAAAAAAAGTGACAATTGTGCAGCCTTGGTAAGCAACGGATATGAATAATGCAAACCACACACGATGTCTGCCCCTAAGAAACTGAGTTTATGCACAAAATATAGGTAAGTCTGACCTATAAATTCCAGAGGGTTGTACAACATCAGAATTATTTAACTCAAAGGACTCCTAAGTAGTACCAGACCCTCTCTTTATACTACAGCAAATAGTGTCCATTTACACACAAAAGTGATAACTGAGTCTGCATCTCTCTTTTAAATGACAATAAATTGCCTAATCAATGTCTGAAAAATGTGAACTTTCAGTACAATCTTGTTTCTCTCGATGAGCTCAACGTACAAACATCTCCTCCCCTCAAACAATTTCCGTCGCAAATGCAGTCCATCCACCAGAAGTTTAGCTTGGTGATTCTTTAGACCAAACCAATCAAATTCGCAGGCCTGATCTCTCTCCAACCTGAAGAGTCACGGTTTGCTTCCTCCCTTTGATGAAACTCCGGGCAAACTAACTGGTACATGCTGCATAAATGGATATATGGTACTCAACACAATCACCATATGGAACGAAAACTCTATGCAAACCCAAGAGAGGATTAGTAAATAAATAATGACGTGATTTTGAACTAGTGCATAGACAATATATCATATACACATCTATGCACAAGCAATTCGCTTACATTTAGTATTATGTGAAGCTAAGTTGTATAAGTATGTACTTGTAGAACCTACCAATAGCTGATATGTTGACCCTACAGTGGCTGTAAGGATGGATTCTTTGGGATGAACCTGTTGGCAGCTCCAAGAGCCCTTGATGATGAATTTAAAGGCCTTTGCGTACTCTGCCCATCAGTCTTCACCCTTTGTACCTGCCTACAGTACAGCCAAACAAATAATCTGAATTCCCTTAATCTTAAATTTGGGAATGTCGCAAAAACCAATTTCAAGAGTAGGATCAAGAGAGCAAGACACACCATTTTCACAAATTGTGGGGCGACCATTTTCAACTTGATTTAGGGGCGTCCCCTTTTCTCAACTGATCAATTGCTCCTCCGCCAGGCCTGTGTTCCCCAAAAATTACACAAAAAAGAACAGAATATGTAAGTTCAATGCAGATATAATGAGCAGATTTTCACAAATTAACAGATTTACCTGGTGACAAGGGCAATCTTCATCTTCGTTGGTGCGGTAAAAGACAACTCCAAATAAACGTTCATTGCGGGTCAATCAATACCAAAAACACACACATCACCGATTTCAAATTATTGTCCATTGCAAACGCTGACCAACCATTCTGGAATCGAGCCGTTGATTTTCATATTTGAATTCAACAGGCCAAGTCTTCCATCTAAAATCTTAAGGATTATGTTTACCAGCAACTGCTTGATGAGATGTTGCCTTGCAAACGGATGTGGGAAATGCTAAAACAAAAAGGAAATCGGGAAAAAAGATAAGAATTTATTTGAATAGTTATGATTCTGCTCTTTGAGGGGGAAGTGTCATTGCTTAATATTTTTCCACTGACTCAAATAGGAGTATCTTAAGTGTGTGATGCAGCAAGGTGTTTATAGAAAGCTTACCATGTACGTTGAAGGATATAAGCCGGTTGAATGGCAACCAAGCAATAAGGATTTTCGGATTTGAAAGCATTAGCTCTCTGAAGAGCCAGAGCTTTTTCACTTTTAGTCAATGGATGCATCCTCCCAAGAACATCAGGTGTCGTTTTAGGAATGTTGACTGCTAGATGAGCCTCCAAAATCTTTCTTTGTGGGCAGATCATCTTCTCCTGTTAAAGAATGTAATAGGATCTTACAAGACAAATAAGGTTGTATCTTAATTGTGTTGGTAGGAAACACAATAAGGTAAACATAAAAGACCAAATATAACACTCCGTACTTTTGATTTCTGATTTAGACCATGTGTAGCCTTGTTTTTCATTGCTCCTCTGGCATGGCCTGCCTTTCCAAAAGCTATAAATAAATAAATATATATATATAAACAGAACAAATCATATATGTGTAGGTTATGCATCATAATGTTGTACAACTCAAAATTAACAACTGATTACTTACCTGGAGGCAAGGAGCAATTCGCAGCTTCAGTAGCTCGGAAAAAGACAACTTCAAATGAGAGTTTAATGTCCTTAATCAAGATAAAGACACAAACATCCCCGAGTTTCAAATTGTTGTCCCTTACAAATACCCTCCAACCTTGCAGGAATCGGACTTTCAGTTTTGGATATGACAACTTAACAGACCAAGTTCCTCCGTCCGAAACCTTAAGGATGGCATTAGCAGGCTGCTTCATAAGATTCTCTTGGCAAACCCTGCTGGCACAGTCTTTAAAAAAATATGGAAAGCATGATATCAGACAATAAGAGCAGTTTTTGAAGAGAGAATATTGATTTATTATTTTGCTTCATACTTTTTCCACGCTACGGCCTTAAATTATTAGACTAGGAATAGTTGCAACTTGTTTTTAGAAAGCTACCAAGAACCGCATGAGATGTACGATGGCTGCATGACAACAGTAAAAGACGGGCATACAGATTCAAAGCAATAGCTCTCTGAAGAGCTATAGCTTTTCACTTGTAGGATGCATGCATGCTCCCAACACCATCTCTTGACCTCTGATGGTGCTAATGGAGATTTTCCCCTGTTTTGGGCAGGAGGGAAACGTGTCCAATGTTTCAACAGAATCATCATCTGATTCATTTCCTCTGTTCAAGATTATAATGAGACAAAACACAATAAGAAACATGTATATTATATTCCTTACTTTCATTTCTGATCTTGAGCAAATCTGAGGCTTTGTTTCTCAGTGAGTTTGAGTCTTTGTTGGTCTAAAGTTGATGTTGCATTCTGGCTTTACCACATGTTCTCATTTCTTGTGTGCGCTGAGGACATGGCAATGGATTTCTCCCTTGCTTTTCTTGGGCAGGGTGGAAAACCATCCAAGATTTCTAAGAGTTGTCTCTTCTTCTTCATAATCAGTTTCTTCCATTTCGGGCTTTGTCATGGCATATTCAACCTCAGTAGATGTTCTATCAAATATTAAAACATGGAAGTTTGAGTTCCCTTCGTATCCAAAGACTAGCCAAATTAGCGTAGTCAGAGAGCAAAACTTGGAGAACTCCGGCCAACCTGTCAAACCACCAACCCCACCATTATTGAGTTCTAATTCCCCATTTGATGTACTGGACTTGATAATGTTTCTCCATATTCACTTCATTGGAATTTTCTGCAGAACAGACTTCAATAAAAATAACAAAGAAACGAATATTTAAACGAGAGAGAGAGAGAGAGAGAAGATGAGGAGAGGAGAGAGCAGAGAGAGAGAGAGAGGCGCTTACAATTCTGATGTTTTTTAGCAGTGTCATCTAGAATGATCTTGAAGAAGTGGGGTAGGGAGCTGAAGATGTTGGAGTGTCATGAAAGAAGCCATGGCTGATTACACTCAAACTTTGTGAGAGTGTGTTCAAATCAAAAGCTTGAATGAGTTTTAGGAGCATGTTGACGGATTGATATGGTTTCACTTAAGCTCGGAAAGGAATCTAATTATTTCAATCAAAAGAAGGGCCTGACATTTTTTTTTTTTTTTTTGGGAAAATGGGAGTAATCGTACTTTTTTTTTGGACGAATAGAGTATACCACTTAGTACGGCCCCATGCGTGTTGTGGTGTTGGTATTTATTTATTAAAGTTTTATATTCATAACTTTTATTTTTTTCAATTATATTATTTGCTGGATTATATAGTTATTTTTTTATCTGTTTTTAAAACAAATTTCATTTAACACTCGAAAGCAGATACCATCAGCTTCAAGAACAGGGAGCAACCAATTGGTGCTTCCTCGATCAGGTAACAAAACCATTACATGAATTGCAAACATGAGCCAAAGTGTGTGCCACCTTATTATCGCCTCTAGGAGTCCATTGACATCCGACGGCTCTAAACTTATTAAGAGAGAGTTCACCTCCTCAATAAAAGGACCATCTATCCATTGCACGCGTTGTTGAAAAATACTATTAATGTAGTCTTGTGCGTCCATTTCTAGAATAGCATTTGTGTGCCACTTATTTTTCTTCGCTTTGGTTCATGATTAGTGGCATCAATCTAGTCGAACCGATATAATCGATCGTTTTAAATCGTAATTATCAATTTAGTTTGGTTTTGATAAAAAACAACTCAAAAGATTTAAAATCAAACCGGACCATATACAATTTGATTTGGTTCGATTTTGAGCTCTTATTTTTATTTTACATGTGTAGCACTTTAATTACATAATAACAATATATGGATGTTGAATTTGAAGTCTGATGGACCTTAGGAGTAATGATATTTGGATTGTAGCTATAGTAGTTATTGAAATTTAAAGTTTTATGACATGTTGAGTTTTAGGATGGTTTGATCCTATAGAAAAACAAAAAAAGAATGTAGCAAGTTATAAATTTTTTGTTGTAATTAGGCTAACAATGTTGAAAAATGCAAAAAGGAAAGTTAATTGGGTTTAAGCCCAAACCAGCTGAACAAAACCAAACCAAATCACCTTAAATTGGTTTGGTTTGATTTAGTTTCCTCCATAATTTTTGTCAAAACCAGCTGAACCAAATCATTATATTGTAATTGATTTGGCTACAATTTTGAAGTGAAACTGATCCAAATTAGATCATGCCCACCCTTTATCGAGGAGAACATTTTTACTCACCCATGATTGGTGTTTGGTAATAAATTTGGTCAAAATAAATTGTGCATGGTTAATGGTTGTACGGATGAGAATGTCCTTAGTAGTAAGACCCAAGCATTGTTATTTTGTCCCTTTTTATCGTGCACCTACCTAGGAATTAAGTTGATGGAAAGTTAAGACAAGATAATAATGCAAATAAACAAATTGTGTCTGTACAGAGTAGGGGTGGGCATCAATGGGGCTATATTGACTAAATCGGGGAATTCAAACTACAATTATGGGTTTAGTTTGGTTTTGATTAAGAAAAAGTTAAATGTTTTAAAAATCGAACTGGATCGTATATTGTTTAATTTGATTTGGTTTTTGGGCTTCTGTAAATGGACTTAAACCGAATTGAATTGTCTACTTGTATATTTATTTATTTTATTTTATTTTGCACATGTAGTCCTCTAATTAGATATAACTAGAAATGAATGTTGAATTTGAAGTTTGATAGACCTTTGAAGTTATGATATTTGAGTTTTTAGCCATATTAGTTATTGAAATTTGAAGTTTTATGGAATGTTTGAGTTTTAGGATGGTTTGATATACTAGAAAATGAAAAAAGTATGTGATGAGTTGTGAATTTTTTTGTTGTAATGGACTAACAATATTAAAAAATGCAAAAGGAAAAATAATTGCCCTTAGGGCTGAACCAAACCAAACCAAATCGCCTTAAATTGGTTTAGTTTGGTTCTGTTTCCTCTGTGATTTTTTGTTAAACCAAACCAAACCGTTATATTATAATCAATTTGTCCGCGATTTTGATATGAAACCGATCCATCCAAACCATGTCCGGAGTACTTAAGTGATCATTTATCTTTACACTTGCGGTTTCTCATTTCCTTTTATTTCAATAATAATAACTTTTGATGGCAACGAGGTATAGCCCAATGAAAAGGGTCTTGACTTGTAGACCAACGGTCTTAAGTCGAATCCACATGACATCTTGGTAGTGTATATGCATGTGTGAGAAAAACCTCGACTTCCTTGCTAGCTAGTCATTTTTATTTTTTTTAAAAATAAAAACCAAAAAAACAAAAAAAAAAAAAACTATATGATTAACAATCATCTCCTTTTATACGATGTCTGGAAACTTAAACGATAAGATAATGCACCTAAAACTAAAGATTTTGATAAGATCAGAAATATTACAAGTATGGCACAATTAACTATGTAGGAGCTAAAATACGCAAACACATCTCCTTTCTTTTTCAAGGTTATTAGCTATCGTAGGAAGCTGCGCTATTATGATTTATGAAGAAGAAGCTCATCAAAACCCACGCGAGAATCTTTGTCCCCTCAGCCAAACCACAAACGTCATTGCCAGATTGCGAGGCTCTGCAATATGTGCTAGCTAGCTGGTGTTTCCTTTTTCTGGCCCACCAATGACCACAGCAGCATGCTAAGTAAAATATTACGGACAAGGAGCATTTATTTATTTTTATCATTTCCACGTCTGGGATGATGATGGCTTTGTATTTTTCTTGAATTTGGCATTTTGATTTCTACTTTTTATCCTGCTCATAATGTTCCAAAAGTTCAAAATAAAATTCATCTTCAAATATTCATAAAATTAAGTCACAAGTTATCCGAGAAGATAGCATAACATGATAATAAAAGAGGTCTTGCATATAAGATAGAAACAACATATCACTCATAAGCTCCTTATATCAGGGCCCTTAGTTATAAGCTCAAGCACACAGGCATCACCTTCGTCCAATGATTGTCCTTCACAAATGCCCCCCAACCAAAATTGTGGAATCTTGCTCTTGGCCTTCCATTGTATACAGTGGAAATGCACTTGACTTCCCCAGATCTCTCATCATTTGAGATCTGCAGTGTCACATCTGATGAAACACCTCTTGCCGTATGTGTTTGTTGGCAAAGCGTACACTTATTGGCTTCAAACATAAGAAACACACAAATAAGAGAACCAATTACCAAACCAAAATTGAAAAATATATGTATCATTGTGTCCAGCTCATTTCTCTCCTAACCTCATTAGGGTTCCTTACCAGGTGAGTTGATAAGTATGATAGATGCATTTTCATCACACAAAAATGGATTGTTAGATTTGAAGCTTAAAGCTTTTGAGTATGCTAAATCTTCAAGTTCTGTCTTTGCAAAAGTTCTCAATGCTAAATCCCTGTCATGCTTATTTCCTTGGCCTTCAGTTTCACTACTTGGATTGGAATTGCCTTCAGCTTCATCACCAGTGCTTGAAACTGAAATACTTCATCTCTAGAGTATTTCTCATGAAAATGCGAACTCTGAAATGAGAATGTTCCCCTCCATATCTGAAGAATAACAAGCAACCATGCTTTAGGGAGTAAAATTTAGCGAATTCTGGCCATCCCTTTTGCAGCCAAATCTCTCCGTTGCGGGGCCTAGTCAGTTTTACTGGCCAAACTGCACCATCTGGAACCTCAAGGAATATTTTGTCCGCCATTAAATCTCCATATTCCATCACAAGCATCTTTGGAATTTTCTACAATATTAACAACTTCCTCAAATTAAGATATGTTCATGTATAAAATATGTGCATGAAAAATATAAATAAATAAAAAGGAAACAAAGATCGGACTACTTGAGGCATGCAGCTGGTTAATTTCCTTTGAGTTTGAGTTACCCTTTGAAAACTAATTAAATTTAGGGTTAAAGAGTATAGCATTCTCTTTTTCTTTTAGATGAAAAAGGAAAACATGTTAAGGTCTAAAATTTATAACTAGAAAAGAAGACTGACCATGAGAATAAAGATGAAGAAAAAGCTATAGCTAGGTTTCAACTTACAAGCTTCCCATCTTGAAGAGCCTGCTGAACGACAATCTTGAGGAAGCTTGGAAATGGAGTGCTCAATTGAAAGGCAGGGCCTTTGCCCTCTCTCCTGCTTCTAGAACTCATATGATCAAAGTTAATGAGACCCTTTTTTTTCTGTTTTTGTTTTTGGGAGGCTTTCTACACTATGGAGAGGGTGATTGATGATATATCCATTTGTGAAGACATCAGAGAAGATGGCTTATCAACCATGTGCAAATGCTGTGTTTTTATTTAAAATAATTAATGCAGATGTGGTTGGGTTAGGAACTTAGGACCACATTGATCGAGACTTTTTTGACATACAGACATAGATGTAGACTCTTTTTTTTTCTTTTTTTCTTTTTTTTTTCTCATATGAGCAAAGCTTGGCTCTTTAGGAGCTCCTCCTTAAAGCAAATGAGATTTTGACACTTGTTAAATTCCAAAACAAAGAAAGTTAGAAGAATTTAAAAATTGGAAAAAGTTCAATGAAATTGACAAGTGTCAAAACCTCATTTGTTTTGAGAATGAGCTCATTCTCAGTTTTAAGAAGCCAAACTTTTTTCCTTTCGTATTTGTTTCCCCTCATGTAGGTGAAGTCATAAGTATACATAGGCAAGGCGCAATCGCATAAACAAATCAAGTTCCGGTGTTTGGCAAGGGTGGTTGGCATATGTGCACAAATACAAGGTTTAGAAAGTTTCTTTCTTTAAAAGTGAAAGCATAATGGAGAGTCGATTTGAGTAGAAATTGAATTTCGTGCTTTTTTAGTTGATCTTAGTTTAGTTAGTATAATAATGAAGTTAATGTTTAAAGCAAATTAGGTTGTACAAAATTTTAAATAAATAAAATTTTAAAGGTATTGTGATTTTTTTATAAATAATGTTTTTCCCTAAATTGTGTCTGTCGATAAGAGTAATTTAGAGCATTATCCATTACTATTAGGTCATTACCTGAGTCTCTATTGTCCCTTTTGAGTTTTTACTTTTCTAGAGTTATTACTCATATAAAGAATTTAGTATTTTCACATTTAATATTCGTATTATACACGTACGTACTTATATTTTTCATGTTTAATACATTGCTTTTTACAAAATTTCAATAATACACACAAATTCACATATTATACACATAATACTCACATATTATTGAATAAAATTAAAAATTAAAAATATATATAAATACTAATTATTGACCAAGTAAATAATAATTAAAATGTAACTACTAATTAAAGTAATTTAAAAAAAAGGGAAATTCAAATTATGCTATTCAATGGGCGGCTATACTTTTAAAAAACTTCTATTCTAGCGTATAGCCGCACGGCTCTACTTTTTTTACAAAAGCTATGGGTGGGTCCCTCGTTTTCATTAGTATCGCCGCGCTGCTATACCCCAGTTTTTTTAATTATAAAAATTGTATAGCCGCACGGCTATTCTATTTTGACCAAAACACGCGCCAAGCCCTGGGCATGTCCTTTGTTTAAAAAATAATAATAATACTTATAGATAATACTTATAGCTGCGCGGCTATACTCTGGAATTTTTAAAACAAAAAGCGTATAGCCGACGGGCTTACTCCGGATTTTTTCGCTTAGCTTATAGACGCGCTAAGCGCTGGGCGGGTCTCTTTTTAAATTTTTTTATTTATAAATAAACAGTATAGCCGGTCGGCTATACTCTTTTTTATATAAAAAAAATGGGGTGAGTATAGCCGTCGGCTATGCTATTATAAATAATAAAAAGAGGCCCAGCGCTTAGTGTGTTTTTATAAATAGTATAGCCGCCCGGCTAGACTCTGGATTTTTTAAATAAAAAAGAGTATAGCCACGCGGCGTTACTGGGGTCGTTGTTTTAATTATTTTTAATAAATCGTATAGCCACGCGGCTATACGCTTTGCGCGTGTTTTATATAAATAGTATGGGAGCCGCTTGGGTACGTGGGCTTGGGGTCCTTTTTTTTTTTTTTTTTTTTTTTTTTTATTTTTAATTTAATAAATTGTATAGCTGTGCAGCTATAATGTTTTTAACAAGTATCAGATGAGAGGAAGTGAAGAAAAGCAGAAAAGCTCTCAATGATTAAGTTACAAACTAGTCCAGATCAGTTACAACTAAGCTTACACAGGCTTATATGGCATTGCCGGCAACTTAATCTAATCTAACAATGAGCACACATGGGAACCATGAACTAAGTCTGAAACTTTCTTGTAACTACACAAAAACCTGTCATGTCTACTTCATATAAAGCAATCTAGAGCTTCCCTGTTAATTAAAGTCCTAGACTAAGAAAGAAAAAGTCCTATGTTAGTGCAAAGCATGTACACATATATAGTTAAAGAGAGACAATTGGGCTAGCTTACAAGTTTTTGGTCTCTGGAATTCTTGTCTATGATCATGTTTAAAAAATGGGGAGTTGTAGCAGAAAAGTTTGGGCGAAGAGAAGGAGCCATTGAGTTGAGATGAGATGAGATGTACGTTCACAGACAAGACTTCCAGGGATAAAAAATAAATGCTTTGAGTTGAGATGTATGTTCAAAATGAAGACCTGTGGCTTCATTTTTATGGTGCCATCTCACCTAAAGTGAAGTACAGTGGCAGGGAGTTATGAAGGCTCTGCCAACCACAAACGCTTGACATGAAAGAGGAAAAGCTTGTAGGGTTGTCGAAAATTGGGATTGGACTCATTGGACAAATGTGGATATATATATATATATATTTATTATAGCAAATTGTGGAGTTCGAAAGAAAAGCTATGCCAACTTGCCAAGTGACTTTACAAGTATGATTTTGTTTGAATTGTTTAGCACGCCTAATGGTTTTGGGATATTGCATTATGACCAGATTGAGGCTAGTACTATACCATTGCCAAACAAGGCATAAACTTTTCAGAAAAGCAGAGGCATGACATGATGCAGAAAAAACACCACCCATCAGCTCTTTGTGAAGTCCAAATACAGCTGTACAACATTGGCAAAAAAATGGAAGAGGAAAATGCCAATTTTAACAAGATGTTTTTAGGTGCTTAACAAAGCATTATAGCCCAACAAAACAAAGATCATGCAAGAAAAGGGTAGAGATGTAATAATCAACATCTAAATATGTGTTCAGAAAAATATAAGGTAAAGAACAAGAGGCCCAAAAACAAAGATATTTTGGCCTGTTATTTATAAGAATTGTTCATGGTAAATACAACAGATGCTTTACTTCTCTTCCAATGCAACAGAAGCATCAAAGCTGAGCATGGAGATGTGTTGGACCTCAATTTTAAAATTGAGGTTGTTTCAACTCAAAAAGTGAGTAATTGTATGAGCTTAGAGTGAAGCCAAATTGCTTGAATTCATCATGTTGAGAAAAATAAATCATTAAAAACAGTAAGAAGTTAAGTAAGATTAGTCTATCTCAAATTATCAACTTCAACACATCCAGACAGACTTATAAGTAGTTACCAGTCACAAGTTCACAACAAAAGATGAAAGCGTATAACTTGTTAAAGAGAGGTCTTGCACATGAGCTGAAAAAAATAACATAGAGTCATAATCTTCCATGCACTACTGTGGGTGGGATCAGTCAAACTTGATCTTTATCTCGGAATATGCGAACTCTGAGTTTAATTTTAGGAGCCTTTTCTATCAACTCAAACACACAAGCATCCCCTTCTTCCAGTTGATTGTCCCTCACAAATGCTTGCCAGCTATGATGATGTAATCTTCCACTTAACCGACCACCGTATACATCGATCAAGCACCTCACAGACCAAGTTTTCTTATCTGAAATCTGTAGGGTCACATCGCATTCGCCATCTGAAAGGAGATGTTTCATGACAAAGGATGACGGGATTCTCTGCAAACATCAGAGGAGATAAACGTAGCCAAAAGGGAGTTATTAGTTACATATATGCTGAGAGATTATTCAAAATGTGTTGATCTTTGAAGGAATCCATTGTGCCAAATTCGTGTCTCTCATCAGACAAATGGAGTTGTTGGGGACCAAAAAAAAAGACAAACAAAACAAAGCTTACCAAGTGATTTAGAACATATGATGGTTGCATTCTGATCACAGTAAATGGATTGTCGTATTTGAAACTGCTAGCTTTGGCAAAGGCTCTACCTTTCAAACTTTCAAGTTTAGCAGTTCTCAAATCAACCTCCGATGATTTGTGTGAAGCAGTCTTTCCTCCATCACCACCTGTTTAATTATTCCAAAGACTCAATTTCATCATGACAAGTCCCAAAAGAAAAAGAAACATTCCAAAAGCATTATTCTTTATGAGCACTGACACAAACAGAACCAAATTTCCATATATACCAACCAAATTCTTTGAGAAAACTAGGTGAACCTACCATGTGTCCTCTTTTCTCCTTCAGTTTGATCACCACTTGCGTTAGAATTGCTTTCGGTATCGTCACTTGAACTGTTATACTCCATCTCTAAAGTATTCTTTCTAAAAATGCGAAGCTGGAAATGGGAACATTTCCCTGCATAGCTGAACACCAAGAAGCATCCATCTTCTAGGGAGTAAGACTTTGCGAATTCTGGCCAGCCCCTTCCTAACCAAATCTCGCGATCACGCCTAGTCAATTCAATGGGCCAAATTGATCCATCTGGAACGTTAAAGTACGCTGTGTTTGCCATATAATCTCCATACGTATGCACAGCAATAATTGGAATTTCCTGTAATTAATAGTGCCCTCAAATTTAAGCTGTGCATGCATGTTTATTGGGTAGCATATAGAAACACAAGACATATGACATGAACAAATAAAACCATGACAATATCAATGGACGTTATTCAGCAGCTGGTTTGAGTTAATTTCAAATGGAGAACAAGATGGATATAAGGAGAGGTGCATGAAGAAATCATTATATGAAGCAACTTGAAAATAAAAGATGAGAAATATCAACACAAGGTTTCAACTTTAAACTGACAGACTAAAGCTAAACTGAGAAAATGAAGCAAAGTTATCAACTTACGAGCTTCCCATCTTGAAGTTTCCTTCCCAAGACAATCTTAAAGAAGCTTGGAGCATTCATCGGAGGGGCAGGGGACTTGGGCGAGTTTGAATAATCCATCTCACCATTTAAGTTGTCTTCTTCTTTAACACTTGAACCGAAATAATCTATCTCTAAAGGAGACCTCATGAAAATCCTTACTTGGAAATGAGAGTGATTCCCTTCATAGCTGAAGAGCAATACGTAGCCAAAGGCTAGTGAGTAAAAATCTGCGAAGTTTGACCAGCCCTGTTGTAACCAAACCTGGCCATTACGCTTTGTCAGCTCTATAGGCCATACCGCGTTATTTGGAACCCTGAGAAAGACAGTGTCTCCTAGACAATCTCCATACTTTGTCACAACACTCTCTGGAAATTTCTGTAAATGAATAACTTCCTCTGAGTAAGATATCCATAGCTATAGGGTTTGGCTTTAGCATATAACAATAAGGTACTTAGTGATATGAATAAATAAAAGAAGGAAAGTATTCAACTTACAAGAATATCCTTTGACAAGACTATCTTGAAGAAGCTCCGAGAGTCCACAGGAAAGGCAAGGCCTTTGCCATGTCGACTAGATGAACCCATTGGAGCTGAGAGAGAGTTGAGAGCTAGCGTAGGTGTTGTGCTGCAAAAAGAGAGAGTTGAGATAAACAGGCTTTGCTTGCAGCAATAGGAGGAGGTAATTGTTCAAATGCTATATTTGAACAAACCATTTCACCATTGGATCTTTTTTATATGATCTCAACCGTTTATTATTTCATATTTTTCTTCTGTGTTTTAGTTTTGTTGAAACATTTTATCTTATATTTATTTGGTCACTTGAATGTTTCTGTGTGATTCACAGGTCTTTGGGAAGTCATGAATACACAAAGCTGTAGCCATATGAAGACTACGTACAACATGCTTTACAAGCATAAATTTTCACCATTATATGTCAGTATGCAAGACAAACCAGAGACTTTGCTTAAATGCTCTTTGCCTCTTTCTGTTTTGAGTTACAATGCTTTTTCTGTCTTCGTATTTTTGGGTGACCATTCTTATATAAAGAGTAGAGTTGGGTCAAAGTTTTATATATATATTGAGCTTTAGTAAATGCAGCCTATTATCAGAATTGCAGGATAGTATTAATAAATGCAGCAGAGGTTTTATTATCTGCCAATGCGAGCTTGGAGATGTAAGATGCGATTTTTCATTATAGGTAGAGATTTAAATCTTTGTGTATCATCCAAACAGCTTTTTTGGGGAGTCAGAATTCAAGATTGGCAGATTCAATCAAACCCACAAACTGATCATGAGATGCTTTACAAATTACAAAGCAGAAAGTTTTCACCAAAATGTTGCTAAGCTAGCTAGAGATCCTAATATATGCCAGCATGCTTTGCCTTTTTGAGTTTGTTTCTGTTTAGGAGGTGGGTTGGCACTTGTCAAATATGAGATTTTTGTTTGGGCTTCGGCCTTCCATAATACCAAAAGAAGAAAAAAAAAAGTCATTTAAACTATGATGGGCAGTATATAGGGGAAGGTGTGGAGCGTAGGAGGGAAGAAAGAAAAAGAAACTATATTTTCCTAAAATCCTTTTTCTAAAGTTCGATAAGAGTAACCAAGAACATAGCATCACATGTCGTAAGAGAGGTTTCACATAAGCTGCTGGGAACATAATCAACACAAAACCTACAGTAACATTACACATTACGTGTTGTTTAATGCATCAGCCTGCATCTTTAGCTCGGTATATATGCCAACCTTAGATGTAACTTCACGGCCCTTTTCTATCAGCTCAAACACACATGCATGATGCATCCCCTAATCTCAGACGATTCTCTCGCACAAATGCTCTCCATCCACCACAGATTCTTGCTTGTGTCTCGACATGGCACTTAACAGGCCAAATTCTCCCTTCCGAAACCTGTAGGTTTATATTGCGAACGCCTTTTGCACAGAAATGTTGCTTGCAAAAGGATGCAGACAGTTTCTGCAAAAATTCTCCCATCCGAAATCTGTTTCCCATGATGCATCTAAGAAAAGAAAAATAGAGAGTCTGAGGAATTTGCTTTTGTTGGTTGATTGAGCAAAATTGTGCTTGTAATGCTGCTCCATGGGTTGTTATCTCCATCAGAATTGGAAGAGCAAGCAAACGGGTTGTCGCCGATTCCATCATAGAAAATTCCACCGAACTCATCATCACTACCAACCTGTGGCTGGTTCTTTGTTTCTTCTCCGTCAGTACTCTCATCCTCCGAGAAGTTTGAGTTCTTCTGAACCAACTCTCTGAATATTGATGATTGAAGGACGAGGCCAAGTGCGGTGGGAGACGACGATGACTTGCTACCGGTGTTAAGAGGGATGTTGCTACAGATGACTTCTTGTTTTCGGAGGGGAGTTCAAGTAATCAGAGGCAAAAGGACCTGTGTGTGAGAAAGACTCCTCTGTTGGGATGCAGCTGTTGGCCATGAATGGCATATTCTGAGGCTCTGCGACTGCCTCTGATTCTTCAGTGGCTATTGGATCGTCTGCTCTTGGCTTTAGCCATCTTATATAAGAACTCAAGTCAAAGTTGGTCACAGCATTGATCCCTCTCTATTCAATTGCTGCAATGTCATAGGCACGAGCTGCTTCCTCTTGGGTGCCTGAAATGAGATTAAAAAGACACATTACTCAGTAGGTGCAAATTTTCTTCATTATAGTTTTCAACTCTCTTTTATGACAATTTATATTGCAGCCAGTTTTTGGATATGTTACATAATGTCATAATCAGTTATGGAGACAGGAGATCAGAGATAACTTACTGCAAGTGCCAAGGTAGAGATACTTGTTTCCAAAAAACTCTTCCTATTCTTGAGGCTATACCATTTATTTAAAAAATTAAAAATACCGAGTATGGCCGCGCGGCTATACTATTTATAAGATTTTACATCAAGCCGCTTGTCAAAATTACCATTACAAAAAGTTTTAAAAGGAGTCCAGCAGAGCCGTGTGGCGTTTTTTGTAAATAGTATAGCCGCGCGGCTATATACCGGATTTTTTTATTTTTTTTATTTTTTATTTTTTTCTGTTTTTGTTGTTTAATGCATCAGCCTACATCTTTAGCTCGATATACATGCCAACCTTAGATGTAACTTCACGGCACTTTTCTATCAGCTCAAATACACATGCATCCCCTAATCTCAGACGATTCTCTCGCACAAATGCTCTCCATCCACCACAGATTCTTGCTTGTGTCCCGACTTGGCACTTAGCAGGCCAAATTCTCCCATGGAAACCTGTAGGATCACTCACTAATTATATTGCGAACGCCTTTTGCACAGAAATGTTGCTTGCAAAAGGATGCAGATAGTTTCTGCAAAAATCACCGCCAAAAAAAGGGGTTATTAATGAATCAAAACAGGGGTTATTATTTCTTATGCTGAGAGATTGGTTTAATACTATTGCTCCCTAAAGGATCACTCACTAATTTATACTCCATACAAACTGGGATAGTGTGATCTTCTTTTTTTATAATTATTTTTCCCCGATTTTTTATTTATCGATAAGAGTAGTTTAGAGCATTATCCATTACTATTAGGCCATTACCCGAGTCTCTATTGTCCCCTTTTGAGTTTTTACTTTTCTAGAGTTATTACCCGTATGGCTATACTTTTGAAATACATACTCTTTTCACAAAACCACGCGCTAAGCGCTGGGCGGGTCCTTTTTTATTTTATTATATATATAAATAGTACAGTCGCACGGCTATACGCTGGTTTTTTTAAAAAAATAAAAACAATTATAGCCGCCCGCTATGCACTTTTCACCAAAAAAAAAACATGCGGCTATACTCTTTTCACAAAAACACAAGCTAAACGCTAAGCGTTGGGTGTGTAATACACTCCGGATATTTTATTATAAATTTCACAAAAGCACACGCTAGCCGGGCCGGTCCTTTTTTTAAAATTATAAATAGTATACCCGCGCGGCTATACGCCAGATTTTTTAATATAAAAAAGTGTATAGCCGTGCAGCTTTACTGGGGCCCTTCATATCTGATTGCTAACGACTCGATTACTCATCAATGGTCAATTTATCAACTCGATTACTCATCAATGGTCAATTTATCCAATTTACCAGGATTGTTCATATGCTTTTAATTTAATTTAATTTTAAAAAAAACACACACTTGGGCTTAATTTATTTATACCAATTTTAGTGAAATCTTCAATATTGATAAAAACATGCATGTTTTAAGATGGACATAAATCTAGACCCCATGGCCGGCTGCACCACAGATGCTAGACAGTACAAATACATGTGCTTGTAGAATGAATGACAAACCGAAATTTAGATAAAATAAACAAAATAAAATCCCATTTTGCTAACCAAAATGTTAAACACTCAATCACCAGAAACTAAGTGATCTTTTTCTGGACAGTGATGAGCCCCTAAAAATAAAAAACCATTAGAGAAAGGAGTCACTTGTTCAAAAGGAAATCATTTTAGAATTTTGGCCCAGGTTCCACAAAACTCAGGACCGGCTCTGGCTTTACGACTTGAACTTGTTCTCTTTTTCTTTTGAGCTAGTGGTGCTGGAGAACTCTCCTCTGTATTTGGGCAAGGTGGAAAATCATCCAAGATTTCAACTGAATCATCATCTTCATGATCACTTTTAGTCGATGGATTCATCTTCCAGGTGTTTGTTTTTGGAATCTTCTCGTGCTAGACATGCCTCCACCACCTTTTTTCGCAAGAAAACTATCTTTACCTGTAAAAAGATTACCATAAGATATTACAAGCAAGAACAGAATGGCAGAAAAGAATACTTTGTATTTGATTGACTTCTCAAATATCATTTCAAAAGGTTGAGAGTTTCTTGGTCTAATAAAAAATGGAACCACATTGTGCAGGTTGATGTTGGTGATCTTTGTTAGTTTGATAGGGCAGATAATCTCATGAGCAAATTCGGTATGGAAAGAAAGCAGAAATTAAAAAAACCACAAAAGGACTGATACATCTTGCAATTAGAGGAAGGAGTCTGGCTTATCCAATTGGTTAACTGACTTGCATACACAAAAAAGAAACAATATTAAGTCTGAAAGAACAATTGCTAAGGACCTTTCACCAGATTTTCAAGATCTTTTCACAACCCTTGTTTTTCTTGGGGGTGGAAACTTGTCCAAGATTTCAACAGAATCGTCACTGGAATCATCACCAAAATCATCACTTGAATCGTCAATCGAATCACCGTCTTCATTATCAGTTTTCTTCCATCGTAGGTACTGTTGTTCCCCATCATTGGTACACTTTGAACCTTCTCCAGAGCGGAAAATGACAACATCAAATAAAGGTACACCGCTGTTGGAAATCAACACAAAAACACACACATCACCAATTTTCAAATGATTGTCACGCACAACGTCCATCCAACCATGCCCAATGTGGTCCTTCCTTTACCACAGTTCAAATCAACAGACCAAGTTCTCCCATTCGAAACTTGAAGGATGACTTCACAGGAATGCTTAATAGGATGTAGCTTGTGAAACTCAGATGGCAACCGCTGAAACAAAAAAGCAAACCAAAGAAAAGAAAGTCAGAAAATGTTTGATGACCGAGAATATTAATGATTAGTCTGCTGATATAAGTAAAGAGAATTTGTAATGGCTCAGCAGGTTGTCTATAGAATGCTTACCAAACTCCAATTATTGATGTAATTGGGTCTCATGGAAACAATAAAAGAAGAAGGGTTCTGCGATTTGAAAGCATTAGCTCTGTCAAGAGCTGTAGCTTTCCCAGTTCGATTGCCAGATGTGCCTCCACCACCTTTTTGGTTAGAAAATCATGTCTCCCTGTGAAAATATACAATAAAGGATATTATAAGAAAGAATAGAATATCAGAAAACATAATAAGGTAATAAAATAGAATCATATAAGTTCTTTTCTTTTCACTTCTGATTTAGAACAGTAGTTGGTGTTGATTTCGGCTTTACCACTTGAACTTCTTCTGCATTTCTTGTGAGGCCGAGGACAAGGCAATGTAGATTTCTCCCTTGTTTTCCTTGGGCAGGGTGGAAAATAAAACATTTCAACAGAATTCTCATCAGAATCTTCAAAAGAGACATCACGAAAACCGTCATGAGAATCATCATCGCATAGAGTTTCTTCCATCTGGGGCATTGTTAATGGATAGTAAACCTCTGTGCAACTTCCATCAAATATGCAAACACAGAATTTGGAATTCACTTCATATCCAAAAACTAGCCAGTGACCCAAGTCTAGAGATAGAGAATAAAACTTGGAGAACCCTGGCCAACCTTTGTCAAGCCAAACCTCACCATCCCATCATCTGAATTCTATTTTCCACTCTGAACCACGTGGGAGCTTCAGATACTTTGGATTTGATAGACCATCACCATATTCCATCACAAATTTCTCTGGAATCCTCTGCACAATAGAAACAACTCAAGTAACTGACCATAATGCATAAAACACCTCCGGATCTTTTTGTAGCTAAGAAATGAAACATCTAACACGCATTACCAATTGAAACTCCATCTACAGGGAGAGAGAGGTGCTTACAAGTTTTCTGTCTCTAGAAGTGTTGTCTAGAATGATTTTGAAAAAATGGGGAGTGGTAGATGAAAATGTTGGGCAGGCCATAGATGAACTTCAAAGTTTTGTCTCCAATTTGTGGAAGAATCTGAAGAAAGCCACAGTTACTTGAAATATTGGAGGCATACAGGAGCAAAAGTAAAGTCCAATTAAATTGGTATCCAGTAGAATCATTGCAAAAGAACCCAAATTGCTACTCACAAACACAATTCTTATGCTTGTTCTCAAATTTCAAAGTTATATCTTAGTGCCAGGAAAAGAATGTAAATGGAAAAGTTTGAACATCACCAGTTATCCACTTCACAATTTTACAACGTGTATCTTACTTTTCAAATAAATAATTGGTTTTTGTTATAAACGAAATTCTCATTTTTATCCTTCTTCTCCCAATCCCAGCAACAGCCATGGAAACCAAATAGCCACTTCATTTCTCTCTTTCTCTCTCTCTCTCTCCCTCTCTCTTAGATTACAGACATCTACCAGTTTAATTGAAAAAAACAAAAAAAACTCCAAGAATCTCAATTTCTTGGCGACTATGAAGCTGACAAGGGGAAAAAAAAGACCAAAACTTACAAGCTTTCCACCTCAAAGAGCCTGCTGAAGGAAAATCTTGAAGAAGCTTGGCGTGTCCACTGGAAAGGCAGCGCCTTTAACCTCTCTCCTGCTCCACACGAACCCAGTTTTAGTTTCAGAGAGTTGAAAGTAGTGTAGGCTCTGCTTCAACGCTGAGAGTATGAACGTTTGAGCCCTTTTTTGTTGGAGAGAGAAGGACGTTGGAGGTCTTTAATTATGGAGAGAAAAAGTCTTGGGTTTTTTGTTGGAGAGAAGGGCTGTGAAAAGTAATTGTGGGTTACTGGTAGTGGAGGAAGAACCTTTGGTTACTGACCTTCACTGGTTCTGATATAAAGTTAGTATATTTTAGTAAGGCTTAATTATGTACATGCCCCCTGTGCTTTCCAACTTATCTCAGATTACCACCTGTGGTAGAAAACGTCTCAAAGTACCCCCCAACGTGCAAAAAACTGTCTCACGTTACCCTTTCCGTCAGTTTTTTTGAAGTTCCGTTACGAACGTTACTGTTCATCTCCCCCAAAATTCCAGAACAGCAACTCCTCCCATTTGTTACTGTTCATCGCACCAGTTTTTGGGCTGCCATCGCCTCCTCCGACCACCCCAAGCGACGACATGGATATCAAAAGAACCAGCACGTTGTCCTCTACCACCCTCACATCTCAGCCGCTGCCAACCGTCGTTTGGATCACCGAAAAAAGCAAGAAATTGGCCGGTTTTTACCCAAAATCTCCATTGCTCGTTCGGGTGATTCCGAGCACCATTTTCTTCGATTCAGGTATGATTTTTCAACCTCTCGAGTTGTTCTTGCTGCTAGTTGTGTTGGTTAGGAGAAATTTCTAAGTTTTGGAGGGTAAATAAGCGATGAACAGTAACAAAGGGGAGGGACTACTGTTCTGGAATTTTGGGGGAGATGAACAGTAACATTCGTAACGGAACTTCAAAAAAACTGACGGAAAGGGTAACGTGAGACAGTTTTTTTGCACGTTGGGGGGGTACTTTGAGACGTTTTCCACCACAGGTGGTAATCTGAGATAAGTTGGAAAGCACAGGGGGCATGTACATAATTAAGCCTTTTAGTAATGAAGATAGGAAGTATTCTATTTGGTATACTTTTGAAATATTTTATTTACGGCGTACAGCCGTTCGGCTATACGTTTAAAATATTCTATTTATGGAGTATAGCCGGGCGGCTATACTATGCCCTAGGGCCTTTTTTTTGAATAGTATCGCCGGGCAGCTATACTCCGGATTTTTTTATTTAAAAAACACGCGCTAAGCGTTGAGCGGGTAATTTTTTTTTTCATAAATAGTCTAGCCGTGCGGCTATACCCCGAATTTTTTTATTAAAAAACCGTATAGCCGAGTGGCTATACTGTTCTTTCGCTGGGCCGGTCTTTTTTATTTATTTAATATGTAGTATAGCCGCCGGGCTATACTCCGGATTTTTTATTTTTAAAACGTATAGCCGCGCGGCTGGACTCTCCATTACTATTAGGCTATTACCCGATTCTCTATTGTTCCCTTTTGAGTTTTTACTTTTCTAGAGTTATTACCGGTATAAAGAATTTAACATTTTCAAGTTTAATACTCATATTGTACACGTATGTATGTATTTTTCATGTTTAATACACTTGTTTTTTTACAAATTTTCAATAGTACACACAAAATTCATATATTATTCACAAAATACTCACATATTATTGAAAAAAAATATATTATAATATTTAAATACTAATTATTCACTAAGAAAATAATGATTAAAACATAACAACTAATTAAAGTATGTTAAAAAAAAATATCCTGAGTATGGTATTCAATGGGTATAGCCGAGCGGCTATACTTTAAAAAAAATCTATTTATAGAGTATAGCGACGTGGCAATACTCTTTTCAAAAAAATACGTATCCTTTTTTTTTTTTTTTTTTTTTTATAAAGATTTTTGAGCAGCTATACTCTTTAAATATATAATCTAATCCTTATATATATATATATATATATATATAATTGTTTTTTCCATATTTTCGTTTTTCAATAAGAGTAGTTTAGAGCATTATCCATTACTATTAGGTCATTGTCCGAGTTTCTATTTTCTATTTACTTTTTACTTTTTCAGAGTTCATTTTTTTCACACACATACTCTATTGAGACCATACTTTACGAATATAGAATTATCTTGAATATATTAACTAGTTATCAATAGAAAGATAACATATGATTATGGAGAGTTTTGTCGGTGTCATCGTAAATTCGTAAGTGTATCTTTTCCATCACGTGATGATTGAGATAACTTTATGAGTGTATATAAATGTTTTTTGAAGTCATTTTCAATGATATGCAAAGACCTCAATAGAAAATTAAACCAAGCAAAAAGGACCTTAGTGAAAACCATACTAAACTAAATAAATTTTCAATTCTCCGTTTGGAGGAAAGGAATTCTCCCACATTTGCGCGCAAAATTGATAAAATTGGAACTTACACATTGACCGTTGTACTTGTAGACACATCGTCAAACTAAACAGACCCATTTTCGTAATTTGGCTTCACATAAAACCCCAACGTAGACCCCTTGCCACCACATTAACCCCCACCACCATGCGCCACCTCCTAAAACCCCTACGCCATAACTGCCGCCGCCTGCGGTGGGCCCACCACAGGGCCCAGAAGGCGGCAGCGAGCCCATCACCCCCGCCGAGACCACCACGACCGCCTCCGAAGCCGGAGAGCTTAACCTTCCACGACCACTCGTGGGAGGACCCGTACAGCTGGATGTCGAAGCTCAACGACAAGGTGGCGATGCGCCACCTGGACATGTACATGGAGCAAGAGGAGAAGTACACCGAGGCCACCATGTCCGGCACCGATCGCCTCCAGAGCAAGCTCCAGTCCGAGATGGCCTCTCGCTTCGCCTCTGACCTCTCCACCCCTCCCCTTCGCTGGGGCCCGTGGTATGAACCGTAATTGTCGCTTCAATTTCGTCCCTTTGTTTCAGCTGATTGAGAGTTGTGATGACAGGTTGTACTATCGGCGTGTGGAGGAAGGAAAGCAATTCCCGGTGCTCTGTCGCAGACTCGCAAGTTTAAACGACGAGTTCATTTCGCATAAATCGCCTTCTGCTGGATTTGATTTCACTTCGGGGAAGAGAATTGAGCAGAAGCTCCTTGATTACAATCAAGAAGCCCAAAGATTCGGAGGTAAATTTATAAATTTAAAGGCTAGATTTTTTTGTTTTTGGATTTATTTGTTCTATTTAATTTTGTGTAGGTTATGCTTACGAAGAGTTATCAGAAGTATCTCCAGATCATCGGTTTATAGCTTACACAATGTATGATAAGGAGAGTGACTTCTTTAAGTTATCTGTTAGGAATTTAAATTCTGGTGCATTGTGTAGTAAGCCTCAAGCAGATCGTGTCTCGAATTTGGCTTGGGCCAAAGACGGTCAGGCATTGCTTTATGTTGTTACTGATCAAAACAAGAGGCCATGTAGGTCTGTAATTTGCTATATTTTTACAATTTATGTGTGTTTTTTGTTACACCAAAATGAAATGTTGGTAATTTTAAGTTTTTGATCAATCAGGATATATTGTAGCATGATTGGATCAACCGATGATGACTTTTTGATTCTAGAAGAACCGGATGAAAATGTTTATGTTAACATTCGACACACCAAAGATTTCCGGTTTGTGACTGTACATACTTTCTCTACTGCATCTTCCAAGGTATTGCTTTGAAAATGACTTTGTGATCAGAGCATCCATTTTGTTTCGAGTGATTTAGTAATTGTGACTTCTTTTTAGGTGTTTTTGATAAATGCAGCTGATCCATTGTCCGGGGTGAACTTAGTTTGGGAGTGTGAAGGTATATCTCATGGCATACTTGAGCATCACCAAGGATATCTTTATCTGTTTACGGATGCTGCCAAAGAGGGCCAGTCGGTTGATTACCATTATCTTCTTCGTAGTCATTTAGATTCTTCTTCCAGTCCAAGAACATGGGAGGTCTGTGGCTTAACTGTGCATTATGTGTTTCTTAATCAATCTTTATTTTTTGGATTTTGAAGTTTTCTGCTTTTGACTGTTTGTCATTCTCTGCACGCAACTATAGCTCATTTCTCTTTTTTAGTCCTTTATCTGTGTATGGCTCTCAAATGGATGTTTTTAGTAGAAATGTTTTGTTTTCAAGTATGAGCTAAAAGTTTTATTTCTGTTTTTATCTGCCTGATTTTTCTTGTTTACTCTGGATAGTTACTCCAAGACATTAATGTACTGTCCTTATTTACTGCAGAGTGTATTTACTGATGACCCGGATTGGGTTGTTGAGGATCTTGATTTCAGTCATACACACTTGGTAGTTACTTTAAGGGAAGGGAGAAACTTTAGACTTTGTTCCGTCACTTTACCTTTGCCTGCTGGGAAGGTAGGTTAACAACACCAACTTCTTTGGGGTATGTGCATAATGCATTGTCAACAACTTTTTCACCTCATGCTGTATCAGGGACCAGTTCATCTAAAAGAGCTTCACCCACAATTCCTGCCTCTTCCAAAATATGTTTCGCAAATTTCACCTGGACCAAATTATGACTACCATTCATCAAAGATGCGCTTTACATTATCATCACCTGTGGTATGTGAGTAACGATGATCACTTCCTTCTAAAGATTGCTGCTGGATTATTCCATAGCTATATGCTTTCATAATGTGCTTTTCGTTATACCAGAGAAATGTTAAATGTCATGACTGTAATTTGAGCCTCTGCCTTTTCTAAATGGGTTGTGTAAAGTAATCCTTTCCCAAAAAACTGATCTCAAAATTTTGATCACCTGCCCAGCTTGGTTTAGAATTCATGATTATTTGAAGGTCAAGGTTCTCACTTTATGCATTAGGACCATTAAGCACACTATGCATCCTTCTGCTTTATGATTACTGAATTTTTAGCACAGATAGCACCCTCCTAAATAGGACAGAAAGTATGATGTTTCATAATTGTTCTTCAAATTAGTTTTGATTTGTCTCTCTATTCTTATCAGTTTCTGGAAAGAGTGTGCATGTCCATATTTCAGATTATGAACCCAATCTTCTGAACTTTTCACAGATGCCTGATGCTGTGGTTGATTATGACCTGTCAAATGGAGAGTGGAATATCGTTCAGCAGCAGAATATTCTTCATGAGAGAACACGGGTTTTGTATGGAACAGCTTCTTCAGCAAGCATCATCGAGGAAACCTTAAATTCAAAATCTTCTAATCCTTCAAATGAAGTCAACTCTGATGATGATCAGTTGTGGAATGGTCTTTCTGAGTTTTATGCTTGTGAACAGTATAATGTCGCTTCTTATGACGGAGTTTTGCTTCCCTTGACTGTTGTATACTCTCGCAAGAACAAGACAGAGGATCAGAACCCTGGATTGCTTCATGTCCATGGAACTTATGGTGAGCTACTTGACAAACGGTGGCGCAGTGAATTGAAAAGCCTTCTTGATCGTGGTTGGATCATTGCATATGCTGATGTTAGGTCTGGTGTCTTAAATCTATTTCTAAGTTATTTTTGGCTTAATCCTACTAACTAAACTTGGTAAAGGAGATGCCTGTGGGGTTGAGGGGCATTTTTGCATCTATTGCATTGCAAAACTCACATGTTTTTTCTCCTTCCTAAAGAGCCTTGTGATTGCCTACTAACAATGTTTGTTTGGATAATATTTCTAGAGGCGGAGGAGGTGGAGGTAAGAAGTGGCACCATGATGGAAGACGTACAAAGAAGATTAATTCCATCAAAGATTATATCTCATGTGCGAATTTCCTTGTTGACAAAGAAATTGTGCATGAAAACAAGCTTGCTGGTTGGGGTTATAGTGCTGGAGGACTTGTGGTTGCTTCGGCCATCAATCAATCCCCGCATTTATTTAAGGCTGCAATTTTGAAGGTAAACATGGATCTTGATCTGCTTTTGGGTTTTACGTGTCTTTTGGGTTTCTCATTTAGTTATTGTTGTATAGTTTTGATGTGCTTTGCTTTGGTTAAATGGAGTTGTTCTTTCTAATCCGGAGTCTAAATTGTTTTGGCTTCTCAGCATGAAGAGAACCTCATCCTATTCTCTTAACAACTTTAATTTTGTGTTCTTTTGCCAAAAGAAACAGTAAACTGATACTTGGGAACTGGCATTTGCAAGTATATGTCTGTTAGGAGGCATTAAGTTTTTTCTTTTGGATAAAAGAAATATATAGTTGTGCTGAATTATATATATTGTGTTAGTAACTTAATCCATTTGCTTGGTCCATCAGGTTCCATTTTTAGATCCAACGAACACTCTTCTCTATCCCATTTTACCGCTTACAGCAGCCGACTATGAAGAGTTTGGATATCCTGGGGACATTGCTGATTTTCACGCTATACGTGACTATTCTCCTTACGACAATATTCAGAAGGATGTTCTTTATCCAGCTGTCATGGTATCCTCATCTTTCAATACACGGTAATTTTTCAAATATACTTTGTTGGTTTTCAACTCTTATGCGGGAAAGGATGTGAAATATGGTATCTCACAAGATTGAGAAGCAGCTTTTGATAGGTCAGAAAAATGGAAAATGTTGGCCACGTTCATGATCTTTTTGTTTGAGATGTTTCAGATTTGGAGTTTGGGAAGCTGCAAAATGGGTCGCACGGGTTCGTGAGCTTACAATTTATGACCAAAAACGTCCGATACTGCTTAATTTAACAACTGATATAGTGGAGGAAAACCGGTACCTACAGTGCAAGGAGTCTGCTCTGGAGTCTGCATTTCTTATAAAGGTGATGGAATCATAGTTTTCATTATACCTCCCCATTCTGTTACTGAATCTGTTGATCAGCAACTCAGAAGCTAGCCGTTGGAAATATGCATCATTTCCAGAATCAATTTGAAATTGTTACGTCCTTCAGCTGCCAACCACGATCCAATCAGGGGCCAAAACTATAAGTTTTATATTCATTTTGGATCCCCCTTTTGATCACGGTAGGTCTCCATATTTAAAGAAATGTCTTGTTTAGTACGCAAATGACCAAATAGAGAAGAACATTCTTTGGTGCATGAATTAGACACCCAAATTGTAGTGCATGTTGCTTTCAACTGTTGTGATCAATTAGTTTGTTAACTCTACATGTCAATGTACCAGATTGGTTAATTAAATACAAGGTAGGATAAGGAAGGTGTCCTTATCCTCTTTATCTTACATTATTAATTTGAAGAAGCTTTCTGATTGCAATATTTTCATTTATCATTACACCTTTTGATTCTGATGGCGACTTTGACCGGCACTCTCTTCATCTAATAGTCTAGTATGGCCAACTACAAATTCAATCGGCTCAAATTTGTCAACCGATCACTGTCACCACCCACCATGTAAAAGTTTCCTTTAGAAGTTAGCTTCCCCAATTACCTACCTCCCCAAAAATGGTTTCTTTAATAAAATCATTTGTCGTCAAACACTGAACCACCATTGACCATTTTGTATGTATTCTTTTTATTAGATATTCATAAATGATTTTCCTTATGATATGGGATATGCTATTTGCAGGTTAGGTGACTTCTTTTTTCTTTTTTCTTTTTACACAAGGACAAACGGACCTAGAGCTTTACTCAGAACACAGAACATGCATAATGGTACATGATTTTATTCAATGTATATATCTGTATACTAATTATATCAGATTCCTTCTTCTTTGCCAATTCTATAGGGGGAAACTTATCGTCCATTTTTAGGTGGACAACGCGAAAAAACAACAGAGCAAAATCAATGAGTTTTCTTTTTCACAAGAACTAAAATATACCATGTGATTGTATTGTACATGAGCAGATTGTGAGTAATGGGAACCCTTCCAATCTAGTTCTGCTTTTGGTTTACAATGTCAAAAAGATTCAAATCTCTACACGAATCCTTTCTAGCAAAAGATGAAAAAAAACATAGGAAAAGAGGACTCTACAAGAACTCAAAAGGTGAAAGAGGTGAATACAGAAGTTAACAAATTCATCCACCTGCACTGATGAGCTTTTTCAGGAAGAGCAAAAGAATGCAACTACACAGGAAATCAGTAATTAATGCCATTCCATCCTTCTGGCATGGAAATCATCTGCTCAGGCGCTCAGACAGTGGTAACAAATAAATTTCGACATCAAATAGAAAACTCTTTCTCAATTTTGAACATACTCGTTGACGGATGTTACTGACTTTGTCTCAGACTCTTCATCAACAGTTGACAGCCCACCCTCTCTGATAAAGGTTGGATTAAGAAAATTCGCCATAAAAGCCCATAACTTGTAAACATCCTCAAAGTTGGTTAGAAAACCCAAAGAAGCTGTTACCACCTCAACCCTTACAAAACCGCCTTTTCTATCCTTTCTTCCATTTTCCATTGGACTGCACAGGGTTGTATCTTGAAGATTCAAAGCCCCATGTTGCTGTCTCGGGGTATCTAGGATTCGTATGTGATTGAGGAAACCAATGCCAAGAGAGATACCTTCTTTTTCAGCCAGCTTCTGAACAACTTCAGGATTGATTAACCCTCTATTTCGGTCTCTCACATTGAAAGCTACAGCTGCACCTCGTTCATATTTTATTTTTGGACCATAGATGTGAACCAGATTCATTCTGCTTTCTCCATCTGAACCAGGCAACCTCAATTGCAGTAACGAGGTCACAAGCCAATTGATCAAAAATCGCAATCGGGAAGTGGTTTTATTGAGACCTAACATATTAACATGATCAAGATGTCGGCATATTATTTCAGGTTCCCTCCTGTCCCAGTCTTGCCCATCACCATATTCCCCATCACTAAAGTAATCTTCATCCTCAATACTAGTCACAGAAACTTCTCCTGTCTCAACATTATGGCTCACATTATCTTTTCCATTATCATCCGTGCTAAAGGACACCCTTCTTCCCCGACTTGGCTCCTCATTCTCTTCTAAACCAAAAAATCTACCGTTGCCATATTTACTCCCCTCCCTTCTCCCTAACAACCTAAATTCACCTTCAGTTTCTCTTCTTATGGCGCAACCTCTTATCTCTGTGCAATTTTCAGCGGTTGATCCATTTTCTAGGTTCTGATGCTGAGAAGTGGAAGTTGAATTCTTGAGACAAATCCCATTTGTGGCAGAATTCAACATTGACCCATTAGACAAGGGTTTGCTAGCTCCACATTCTTCCTGGATCTCTCCATTATGATGGTCAGAACCCATTTGACCATTTAGTGAAATGGGGGCTGCTTCTGAAAATTGTTCTTCATTGACCTCTTTGACACAATCCAGCTCCTGAGAAATTGATTGGACAGCAGCATCAAATGAAACTACATGAGAGTCATCGTGTAGCCTTGAGTTTACCTTTTTGTCATCAAATATGGGGCTGCCATATATCCTAGAAGTAGGTTTTGGGGAAATTTGCTTATGATTCTTCCTGCCAAACCAAAATGGAGGCAAAGGAGAGGCAATTTTCTGCTTGCTAATCTGGCCAGCCTGGTCAGAACCCAATGGGCTCTGACCCAAATCAATCCAAAATGAGTTGTCTGATGACTCATCTTCACTGAATACTGGACTCTTCATCACCTCCCCAACTGAGACACTCTCAGCTTCTTCAAATAAGGTGCTGGTTGCATCTCTGTCAGAGCTATCTTGATCCATCTCAGTTTCAAATACATCCCTTACCTGAGAAGATGTGTATGCTCCAGAGAAAGCAGGCATCTGCTTTCCCTGGCGAGGTTCAGAGGTTACCTCACCATTTCCAACTACTTCATCATCTTCAATTCCAGCCAATTTGTCAAGACCATCTGCAGAATCACTCAAATACAAGGGGAACTCGGGGGTAATCTTCACCATCCCAGACCCAGTAGACCCAGACTGATTTTGAAGGCATCCTATAACTGATTTTTTAATCAGAAGGCACCCAAATCCAGTTGGATCATAACCAAAAACCTTGTAAAATGATGTGACAATAAAATCAGGCCTGAACAGGGACAATCCAAGTGAATCCATGTCCTTGGGACCCAATGACCCAGCATCAAGCAAGACATGCCAATTGTTCTGCTGAGCCAGTGCCATCCATTGGTAGGAATACTTGGCCCCGGTTACTCTAGACTGAACCGGAAACACAAAAAGACCAGTCGCAGAATCCTTCTTCCTCCTCTTCTTGATTGACATTTGCTTTCTCAAATCAGTGGAGCAGAGTTTCAGGGTTGGCCACTTAAACCAGGCACTGTATACCTTTGCCCCTTTCTCTCTGGCACTCTGAGCCATCCAATTCACAGACTGGCTCTCATAATCAAACATGGTCAACAGTTTTTTGTTTGTATGAAAAGGGTATGATTCAGCCAACAATTTAAAAGCAGACCCTCTACTCACAGTAAAAACAAGACCATACTCATTCTCAGGAATGTTCAAATAATCCATTATCCTAGCTTTTATATCATGCTCCACAGTGCCTTTCTCAGCACCACCATAAAGAACATGGTTACTCAAATTTGCAGTTATCTCAGACAAGCTAAATGTAGAAGACTCCCAATAGTGTAGAGTTTGAAGGTATGAAAAAAGACCAAATCCACAGTAGTCAAGGCATACCTTTGGAGACAAATGTGAGTACTCATCCAACCTCAGCTGATCGATCCTCTCCGAAGACTGGTACTTTGGGTACATAGTGAGGAACTTAGAGAAAGCTTCATGGAGGTCAGGGATGGTGTCTTCAGACTCGAAGATGCGCTCAGCAGCAAGAGCAGTGGCGCAGAGGAATTCTCGCTGGGCATGGAGCCTAGCAAGCGATCTGGACCGGCCAAGGCCCTCGTCTTGGTTGGAAATGGACTCAGACTCCATGTCTTGGGATTTAAGGAGTAACCCATCTTCTGAAGCTTCCTCAAGAGCTTCTCTGAGCTTGTTCTCTTGAAGCCTCCGGAGAATTGATGTCGTCTTCTTAATGTCAAGATTTGAATCTGAGCCATCTTTCTTTTTGCTGCTCTTCTTGTCCTTGAGCAGAGCAGCACACTGAGATATGGACTTCCATAATGAAAAATGCATGAAAGCTTCTGTGATGTAACCCAATGTTACAGAAAACCCAGAAGAGAAAATTCGCTCGGAGCAAAAGAACTCAAAGTGTTTAGCTTTAGCCCATCAAAGAGGGATGCACAAGCAGGTCCACCTCCAAACCCTAACTGCTCTTAGGCAAAAACAGATTTTGGCCAGACCAATGAAACCCAACTCGGATTTCTTTAAAATTGAAGTATTTGTCACAAAGGAAGCAACTTTACACAAGTATAAAAACCCTTATCAAAGAAACCGGTGACTGAATGAAGCAATTTCCAGGTCAAAACCAACCCACAACTTCACTCAAAAGAAACCCCCATCACCAAACGTCAACTGTCACTGCAGCGCATTTAATAGCAAAGCAAAGCAAACCCACCAGACCAATTTCTAATTTGCTCATATTCTGGCAAATCCAAAACATACCAGTGTTGATTTGACAACCCCAATATCTGTCTGTCTATCTTTGACCCATCTATAATTCTTTTCTCTCAATCTTCCATACCAATCCCTTGTTAACAAACAGAGAGAAAAGACATTGACTTTCTCAAGCCCATCGTAAAATGATGTTGTTTATTGATTTTTTTTTCCAATTTTTAATCAGTCCATAATAATCAGGTTGGTTTTTGCTCTGCTGGTGGTGGGACCCAGGGAAGCCAATTTCCTCTTATGGTCAATGGTAAAAAGTCAAATAATAAGCTGGCTTTTGTGCAAAAGCTGATTTCTGTTCAACTAGGCAGCTAGAATGGATTTGCATGGGTCAAAGTTTCAAACTTGATGTCCTAACCTGAAAAACCCCTCCATCTTTTTTATTTCAATCTCAAATTGACCCCTTGAATCTGCATACTTGCCTTTTCTTCTCTTCATATAGAGCCTTGTCTGGTTGGTTTGCTTACCACAGACAGTACAAGTAGTTTGGACATGGATTATATATCTTCAGTGGCACTGTGGCAAAGGAGTGTGGTGGTTGCTTTCGGCCAGCAATCAATGCCCATATTTATTCCATGCTGCAGTTTTGACGGCAAACAATGAAATATGGATCTTTTGGGTTTTAACTTTTAAGTATCTTTTTTATTTCTTATTAATTTGTTCTTTGTTGCATGGTTTTTAGCGGGTGCTTTGGTTTGATGGAGTCTTCTAAATATAACTATGGTCAGGATGGATTCAAAAGGATGTTCTTTACCAGCCGAATTGATATCTCTCTTCTAATATACTCTTTTTCATTTGTTTTTTTTTAGTTTTTCACTGCGTCTTAAGTTTTGTTTAGAAAGCTGCGGCTAGATGAATGGATGTGAATTATGCTACTTCATCATTAGTTCCTCACAAGAGTAACAAGCAGCTTTTTTATGAGCCAATAAAATTAAAAACTTGGCAGGTGTGTTCATGATTTAAATTTTCAATTCTTCAGACTTGGCACAATGACCCAAAAGTTCCAATACAGCTTGATTTAACAAGAGACTTTGTGGAGCAAAAACAGGGTAGCTCCAGTGCAAGGAGTTGGCATTGGGCATTCCATTTCTTATAAGGGGAATACATTTAATGGTAGGTTTCATGTCACACCAACTACCAAGTACAAGTTTCCTCTAGAAGTTAGCTTCCTCCCAAAAGTGGTTTCTATATCAATAGTTAATTGAAGAGTCAAGCTGATAACTACCATTCTGTATTTTAGTTAGAATAGATTATTTGCCATATAATATGGGATATGTTTTTGCTACTTTTTAGGTGTCTTTTTTTGTTTCTTTGCTTGGAGGATCAAATTGAGTTTGATTATCAGTATCAAGTTCTAAAAGGAAGCATGAAATGCAGTGACATTACCTACCAACTTCAAGAAAAGGGAGGCTCAAGCTTTTATCAGACCACACAGAGTACACAAAAGCCAAAAGAGAAGTATGCTGATACATATGCTTTTATGATCACTGTAATTTCCAGGGAAACAAAACCCAAAGGCTATGGCCCATTGATGATTATCACTGCGACAAAAAGAAGCCCCATACATCTAAAGCAGCCGCTATTTAGTTGCATGCCCATATTTTGTTCCTCTCAGATAAATGTTGCTTTGCCAAAGTCTAATTCAACGGTGCCTTCTCTGATTTTGATTTTCCTTTATTTCCCCAAAATGTTAAAAGGGACTAAACTAAACGTCTTAGCTAAACAGAGACATCAATTACGCTCTTAACTAAAATAACAGGTTTTGTGAGGAATAGAAGCTGTAAAACATAAGCTTTGAATTTCAAATGAGGAAGACAGAAGGAATTCACCTGCCTTAAAAGAGGTCAAATGTGTTTTGACCAGAATACTCTTCCCATTGGCTCCCTCCCATTGTTAACATAGGGGGAAGTCATGCATGTTCTGGAGAACAATGCGAAAGAGAAAAAAGAGGGGCAAAATCTGAAATTTCTTGCAAGAAATAAGCTACACCATGTATTTTGCAAGAGCAGAACGTGACTAATAAGAGTAGTTACAATGCTAACTCTGCTTTTGCTTTACCATTTGCCAAGATGATACAAATTTCTAAACCAACTCTACAAGAACCCAAAAGTAATAAAATAAAATAAAATTAAAAAGCAGAGCAATAACAAACATGAATCAACAAATTCATAGGCCTGCTTTGATGAGTTTTTCGAAAAAGAGCAAAAGAATCCAACCATACAGGAAGTAAACCCTTCCTGTTCTTCTGGCTTGGAAACCATCTGCTTAGACGTTTCGAGAGACCATCAAATAATTTTCCACATCAAACAAAAAACAATTCTCTCAATTTGGAACAATATCATTGATAGATGTTTCAGATTTTGTCTCAGATTCTTCTTCAACAGTAGACAGTCCACCCTCTCTGATAAAGGATGGATTTAGAAAATTCGCCACAAATGCCCATAACTTGTAAACATCTTCAAAGTTGTTGAGAAAACCCAAAGAAGCTGTTACCACCTCAACCCTTACAAATCCGCCCTTTCTATCATTTCTTCCATTTTCCATTGGCCTGCACAGGGTTGTATCTTGAAGATTCAAAGCCCCATGTTGCTGTCTCGGGGTATCTAGGATTCGTATGTGATTGAGGAAACCAATGCCAAGAGAGATACCTTCTTTTTCAGCCAGCTTCTGAACAACTTCAGGATTGATTAACCCTCTATTTCGGTCTCTCACATTGAAAGCTACAGCTGCACCTCGTTCGTATTTTATTTTTGGACCATAGATGTGAACTAGATTCGTTCTGCTGTCTCCATCTGAACCAGGCAACCTCAATTGCAGTAACGAGGTCACAAGCCAATTGATCAAAAATCGCAATCTGGAAGTGGTTTTATTGAGGCCCAACATATTTACATGATCAATATGCCGGCATACGATCTCAGCTTCCCTCCTGTCCCAGTCTTGCCCATCACCATATTCCCCATCACTGATGTAATCTTCATCCTCCAGACTAGCTGCAGAAATTTCTCCTGTCTCAAGATTATGGCTTCCATGCTCTTTAGGGTCTTCTATGCTAAACGACACCCTTCTTCCCCTGCTTGGTGCTTCATTCTCTTCCAAACCAAAAAACCTACCATTAGCAAATTTACTCCCCTCCCTTCTCCCTAGCAACCTAAATTCACCTTCAGTTTCCCTTCTTATGGCACTCTCTCTTATCTCTGCACAACTTTGAGTGATTGATCCATTCTCTAGGCTATGATGCTGAGACGTTGAAGTCAAATTCTTGGGACAAAACCCATTTACGGCAGAGTTTAACACTGACCCAGTAGGTAAGGGTTTGCTGGTTCCACATTCTTCCTGGATCTCTCTGTTGTGATGATCAGAACCACTTTTACCATTTTGAGAAGTGGGGCCTGTTTCTGCAACTTGTTCTTCTTCAGGCACTTTCTTGACACAGTCCAACTCCATGGAAACCGATAAGACAGCAGCGTCAAATGATAGCACATGCGAGTCATCACGTGGCCCTGAGTTTACTTCTTTGTCATCATATATGGGACTGCCATATATCTTAGAAGTAGGTTTTGGGGAAAGTTGCTTATGGTTCTTCCTGCCAAGAAGCCAAAATGGAGGCAAAGGAGAGGCAATCTTCTGCTTGTTAATCTGGCCTGCATAGTCAGAACCCAATGGGCTCTGACCCAAATCGATCCAAATTGAATTATCTGATGACTCATCTTCGCTGAAGACAGGACTCTTCATCATGTCCCCTACTGAGATACTCTCTGCTTCTTCAAATATGGTGCTAGTTCCATCCCTGTCAGAGCTGTTATCTTGATCCATCTCAGTCTCAAACACATCCCTCACCTGAGCAGGAGTGTATGCTCCAGAGAAAGCAGGCATCCGTGATCCCTGGCGAGAGTCAGAGGCTTTCTCACCATTTTCAGCTAGCTCATCGTCTTCAAATCCAGTCAATTTGTCCAGACCATCTACAGAATCACTAAGATATAATGGGTATTCAGGGGTAATCTTCACCATTCCAGACCCAGTTGACCCAGACTGATTTTGAAGGCATCCGATTACTGATTTCTTAATCAGAAGGCAACCAAATCCAGTTGGATCAAACCCAAAGACCCTGTAAAATGATGTGATGATAAAATCAGGCCTGAACAAGGATAGCCCGAGTGAATCCATGTCCTTAGGACCCAATGACCCAGCATCAAGTAAGACATGCCAATTGTTCTGCTGTGCCAGTGCCATCCATTGGTACGAATACTTGGCCCCAGTAACTCTAGACTGCACCGGAAACACAAACAGACCAGTTGCAGAATCCTTCTTCCTCTTCTTTTTGTTCGAAATTTGCTTTCTCAAATCAGTGGAGCAGAGTTTCAAGGTTGGCCATTTAAACCAGGCACTGTACACCTTTGCCCCTTTCTCTCTGGCACTCTGAGCCATCCAATTCACGGACTGGCTCTCATAATCAAACATGGTCAATAATTTTTTGTTTGTTTGAAAAGGGTATGATTCAGCCAACAGTTTAAATGCAGACCCTCTACTCACAGTAAAAACAAGACCATACTCATTCTCAGGAATGTTCAAATAATCCATAATCCTTGTCTTTATATCATGTTCCACAGTACCTTTCTCAGCACCACCATAAAGAGCATGATTATTCAAATTTGCAGTTATCTCAGACAAGCTAAATGTAGAAGACTCCCAATAGTGCAGTGTTTGAAGGTACGAAAAAAGACCAAATCCACAGTAGTCAAGGCATACCTTTGGAGATAAATGTGAGTACTCCTCCAACCTCAGCTGATCAATCTTCTCCGAAGACTGGTACTTTGGGTACATAGTGAGGAACTTAGTTAAAGCTTCATGGAGGTCAGGTATGGCGTCCTCTGACTCGAAAATGCGCTCAGCCGCCAGAGCAGTGGCTCGGAGGAATTCGCGCTGGGCATGGAGCCTAGCGAGGGATCTGGAACGGCCAAGGCCCTCCTCCTGGTTGGCAAGGGACTCAGACTCCATGTCTTGGGATTTAATAAGTGATCCATCTTCTGATGCTTCCTCAAGAGCTTCCCTGAGCTTGTTTTCTTGAAGTTTTCGGAGAATTGATGTGGTTTTCTTGATGTCAAGATTTGAATCTGACCCATCTTTCTTTCTGCTGCTCTTCTTGTCTATAAGCAGAGCAGCACACTGATATATGGGCTTCCATAGTGAAAAATGCATGAAAGCTTGTGTAACTGAATTCAATCTGATTCAAAAACCCAGAAGGGAAAATTAGCTCAGAGTAACAAAACACAAGGGTTTTGGCTTTAGCCCATCAAACGGGGATAGAGAAAAGCAGCCTCAAACCCTAGGTCCCCCTAGGCAAGAAGGAGATGATCTTGGCCAGATCAATGTAACCCAACTCTAGATTTCAATTGGAAGTCAAGAAGGAAGCAACTATTGCTCTTAAACAGAAAAATTGTGAGAGAAAGGAAGCAGCTTTACTTGCAGACAAGAACCGCTATCAAAGAAGCCGGTGACTCAGTGAAGCCTACGAACAATTTTCAACCCAAATTTCCATTCAAAAGAAACCCCATTTCCAAAAAAACGTCAACAAAGAGAATTATTCTGGAAAAAGGGAAAATAAAAGACCCAGGAAAGAGAGAAAATCAAATCAAATGGGTCAAACCTAAAACCCAGATCTCAAAAATGCCAAAGGAACCCACTTTACAAAAGAAAGGAAATCCAAATTGAACAAATTTAAGAATTTCCTTCAAGAATCAAAAGTCTTTCACTTCAGCACAATTAATAGCAAATCAAACCCACCACACCAAATGCTCATTTACTAAATTCTAGTAAATCCAGAACATAGTGGTATTGATTTTCTCAGCCCCACTCACTCACTCTCTCTCTATCTTTCTCTCTCTCACTTTTGACTCAATCTACAGTTGCTTTCTCTCTCTACAATCTTCCACGCCAATCGCTCCTAAACAAACAGAGAGAAAGAACATTGACTTTCACAAACCAAACGTAAAATGATGTTATTTATTCATTTATTTATTTAAGTTTTCTTTCCAAATTTTTAATCAATCCATAATAATCAGGTTAGTTGGTTTTTAGCTGTGTTGGTGGTGGGACCCGCGGAAGCCACTATCCTTCCTTTCCATGGTCGCGCCTTAAAAGTCAAATAATCAGGTGGCTTTGTACAAAAGCTGATTTCTGTCCAACCAGGCAGGCAGCTCCATAATTCTTGTTTCAATCTCAAATTAAACTTTACTTTCAACAAAGTTCTTAGTATTGAAATATATCTCCATAATTCCACTTCTGTTATTATTACAATTTCGTAGGAGAGATTTTCTTTCCCTTCCCTTCAACCTTTTTTTTTCAAACATTATTATTCTCAAAAGACTTAAAAAGGAGGAAAAAAAAAAAAAAAAAAAAAAAAAAAAAAGTACTTCAAAGGTGTGTTTTTCAATTTGAAAAGAATGTGGGAAGGTTGTTTTTCTACCAAGGATTTTTTTTTTCTTTTTTAGAAAATATCGACGGTACGATGAAAATTTTATTAATCAAAAAACATATAAGGGGCTTAATACTTTATCTGAGTACAAATATTCACAATAAGTAACATCATGTGGTTCTTCAAACCACTCAACCCTACCAAGAAATTGTTTAGTGTTTACGATTGGAGTTTTTGACTTCTTGGTTCTTAACACTTGCTAATTTCCAAAGAAGAAAAAAATAAGATAAACAAATTATAAGTTTATGAAGCATTCCCCAAACATGTCAAATAAAATTTTGGATGGTATTTTTGTTTACTACAAGATTCTGCCCCAACTTTGATGGGTATGTCTATGGTGTGAGAAATGGTTTCTCTTTTTTTAAAACAAGCTAGTATTTATATAAGTTCCCTTAATTTTTTCCCAAACAAATAAAGAATAGCAATGCAAAATCTTATAAAATAAAATGCAAATCAACTTCTGTGCAAATTGTCCACTTGATCTCTTTTTTTTTAAAAGCAAAGTTAATAAGCATATTCTCTCATGAAAAAAAGAAGTTAAATAATTAAGCATATTTGTCCACTACCACAAAATAAAATCTTAGTCAACTCTTATATCAATCAATCAGAAGGAGTTTTAATTTGTCTTTGGTTTCCTTTTTTTAATGCTTCTCGGATGCTAACCCCCACATGATAATAAACGAATAAACACTTTAGTGCTTCAACAACACTATTTTTGTTCAAATTATTTATAAAAAAAACAAAGCAAACCCTAATTTGTTGTTTTGTAATTTGGTTATTAGTCCATGTATATATATTTTTTTTTAATTTCAACATATATCTTATCCTTGTATCCATCATGAATACGCAAAAGACCTTTTCTTTTTCTTTTTCTTTTTGTCCTCTTCTCTATCGGTGCAGCCTTAGACTGGACTGGGGCCATTCTAGAAATGAAGCAGCTAATTCTTGATCAACAGAATATCTTAAGCTCATCCTTGGTGTATATTATTGTAGTTATGGCAGGCAGCCCTATCGTCTAGAGATTTGGTAGAAAGTGGGAAGACTTCATTAATTTGTAGGTAGGCCCCCTCGTGTCGTTGTTTTTTTTTTTTTTTTTTTTTTTTTTTTTTTTTTATACATTTATACAATAAAATTTGGCAACAAAGAAAAATCTGCACTATAAAACAATGTTGAAGAGAAGAATATTTGTTCAAGATTTTTGTTTTTTTTTCTTAAGTGCAGTTCCATTAAGAAATAAAGTTGAGATACAAGAAGATTACATGAAGAACACAATCATAAGAGGTTCTTGCATACGAGAATCGATAAAATAAAGCACTTTAAGACAATGAGTAAACTAATCAGGAATTCAGCTTATCCCGAATAGAAGATGAACAGGATCCATAAGACTTAAATTAAGTTAGTATTGAATATGTCACGATGAAGAAACAAGATTAATGGATGCTTTTAAAAGACTTATTAAAGGTTAAATTTTATGATGGGTTTGAAGAAGGATACCGATGAGGAGGAACTTCCCTCTAGATATGGATGCACGACACAACATTTCCCTAATAATTTCGTACTAATTGCAATTTAACGTGACAAGTTTTATTGCTTTGTTGTAGTTCATTAAAAAATACATATCACGTACTTATTAGGAAAAAAGTTTGTCACGGTTTGGTAAAGAAAGCAAAAACATTCTACTTTATTGCGAACTCAATGGGATATTGACAGGTGGAGTTCATTTTTGTATGGCCTTAATGGAATCTTGTCAGAATTATGGATGTTCACTTTCCATATAGAAAAAGTTTTTTAATAATCATGGTTGATTGTTCGTTTGTTGTATTTGATATTATTGGTGTTCTTAGGATTATTGGTGTAGAGAAAAATGAGTACAAATAGAATAAAATGATCATCCTATTTAAAGTTTTAAGTTGGCAACGAGGGTAACTTTTTATATATTTTTTGAAGAAGGAGAATTTGAACTTAAACTTAAATCTCTTTTAATATTGAGAAAAAAAATTAAAGCAAGAGCTAGTTGATATTCTTCTTGTGGCGTGCAATCAGGCTGTCACGTAATGTGTGTTGTAAGAAGAATGGGCATGTTAAATTTCAAATAGATGGGTCAATGACCCACTATTAGCAACATCGATATTGTCCACAACTTAACCACCTACAAAGTCCAATAAGTATGGAGTTTTAATACAAAAGGCCTCTAGTGGAACTATTCATTATATATTTTATATTTTATTTAGTCAAATTTCTAATATAGGATGGGTGAATGAGTGCACAACAAAATCCAAGTTTTTTGTTTGTTTGACCAGAAATAGCATCCAAGCATAATGGCAAGGCTCTCAAAGTATACATACATACAAATGAGACAAGTCACAAGTATACAGCTTCTTTGGATTCCCCTCTCCTCAATAGGAGAGACTTAGTGCACAAAACCCTAGAACCTCCCTCACAAGAGCCAATTTGCAGCTCCTTTATATATTGACTACTAACTAAAAGTTAAAGCAAAAAACAAAAAGTCAAAAATAAAAAATATATATATTCATTCTTTAAAAAAAAAAATCAAATAGTAATGTTCATGGCCAATCCTTGCTGTTTACAATTGTTTGGCCTTGTTATTGAGAATCTTACTTGCAAGTGAAAGAAGCTCGAGAATTCATCTACGTGTTCAAACATTTTATTTTTTAATATGAGATAATTGAGGTCTTATCAAGAAAATAAAGTCAAACATTCAAAGCATGCCTATGTATAATTTGGAAATATTATAATCATATATATATATAACTAATTACAATCCGTTTCGTTATCGTGATTGGAACATGTAATAATTTCCCACCAAATTGATACAAATTAGAAATCTCTCCTCTGACTTAATATTAGAAAATTCTTAAAGGACACTTTTTTTTTTTATAAATTTATAAATAAACCCAATCCTAGACATGTATTTATAAAAAAACCCACGCATTATTTAAACATAGAAACACACCCAAAATCAACCCCAAAGTCAACTTTTTGGGTGTGTTTATAAATGGGTTTTGAGTGTGTGTAATGATGGGTTTTGGGTGTGTTTATAAAGTGTTTTGGGTGTTGGGTTTTTTTATAATTTCAACCTCCATTTTGGGTGTTTTAGTGAAACTCCCTTTTTTTTTGGTCGAAATTGTAAAAGGACACGTTACTTATACTTGAAAGAAAGGCAAATTCTTTGACATTGTTGGGATGGGATGGTTTTGATCCCTTCTATGTGACAAATGCAGCTTTTAAGTTGTATATATATCAATTATATCATATCGAAGCCAGCCTAAGAATACGAACATATCCATAATGAATCATGCATGGTTGACCAACCTTAAGCTTTTGAATAATCACAAATTCCTTGTCAAATCACGAGGGAGGACTTTTAAATTAGCATGCTTCCTTCCTACCCAAAAAAATATCCCAGAAAAAGAAAAGGCTTAAAGTTGCTTTGCATTATGGCCACGACCTTAGCTCATGGTATCCATGCCCAACTAGGTAAATGTAAAATGATGAGACTCGAAGCACAAGAACACCAACTTTGCCAAAAGTGGGATAAGCTAAGGGATCTTTTTGTTGCAAGCAATGAGTAAAAGATGATCTCTTTTTTTGTTATCAAATGCTTTTTTCTTTTCTTTTTCAACCTCTCCTCCCCTTTTCTTTTTTTTCAGATATTGGATTCTCTTCATGTTTTGCTTCAATGTCATTTATAGAACTAAAAACT